TGGGGGTAAGCGATCCCTAAGTAGACATGGAAAGCAGCTTTTCTTCAGATTCTCACGAGACGGGGGTGTAGGGTTGCACCCCGAGGAAACGGCTTATTTAATTCAACGTAGAAATACGTTTAACGTGTCAACCATGTCGGGTGACAGCACTGAAATAGAACCCACGTGCCGGTCAACGCGTTAAATTGCTATTATCAAAGCGAAACGATTATTTGCATTGATTATTCGTTATGAGGTTAACCCCGAAATGGGTATTGATGAATTTTAATTTATCGACCTGGATTAAATTTCTCGGCGACTTTCGTGTCGGAAATAAAGTCCTGAGGCACGAGATGACAATGTGGGATGCTAATGTACGCGCGTTGCAACCCTTCGTACCGCAAAGGCGGTCGCTTCTTTAAGGGCGGTTTTAAGACCGTCTAGGGTTTACGAGGTGGCGCTTAAATTGCCAGGGGGAGGAAAAGTGAAGAGCGGCAAAGTTGCAGCTCACTTGACGGCATCCTCGGCACCCTGCTGCTCTTGTCCAGGGTCTCGAGTTACACCAGGCTGTCTGCGTAACGTTGTTCGCGGTTAGAACCGGCTGAAACGTATCTACACCGGAGGGAAATCTGGAACCCTACACTCCGAATGTTGACCACGCATTCCTAGAAATCGAGAGCCGCCTCCAATTAAACGTACATTAAGCCGCCATACTGCGTACAACTTGTATGCTGCGTAAGGGTACGCGGAATTCCCCAGGCAACCCATTAAGTCGAATGTACATAAATTAATCGTGTAAGTTAGGTCTATAGGTATGGCAAGTGTATATCGTCTATCGTCCACCTAGAGAAATGTCTACACAAGGGAACATGTTCCTTGCAATTCCAGCGAATAGCGTGTTGCACGTCTCCTTTCGGCGGAACTGCTCGGAAATGGGATGGAGGGAATAGGGGAGAGGTGAGAAGGACTAGGGAAAACCGAGAAGGACGGGCAAACAGGCGGCTTAGGTACAAGGGACATTTTCAAAATGTCCAACTAGCCCGGAAAAATGGCAAATATTAACCCGGGCTGCTGTACTTCCGGTTTGGTTTATGGCAGCTTGTCACCCGCCTTCATTGTTTCATCTTTTCCTCGCCGCTAATGACACCTTCCTCGTGGTAAGCCGATGTTGGCCCCACTCGTGTTTGCTCTTTCGAGCCCTGAGGCTTTCCTACGGGATTGAATAAAGGGGACTTGTGTTTTCGTCCTGCGCTCGCACGTCTTGCCACTGCAAACATTCGAGTACAATAAACAATGAGGACTCTCTTCATCCGCTTAGGAAGATTTCTTTCAAATTCGAATACAGTCAGGACGGAACGATTTTCTCTTCGGGTCATTTTTTACAACGCCACTCTTGAGGTGGTATGAAATGGTCATTCTATATATATATATAAATGGGATTAATGAAATTTAAAAAATATTTCAGGTTTTTATTCACATGTAATCGTGCATTTAAAAAAGGCACCTTGCCTTCGCTAGTGATGTGCATGTTTGACGTTAAGAGTCGTTGCCGTTGACATAGAGTAAATAGAGCGAGGTCGGACTAATAAATCAGCCGGTGTACGAGTCCCTTCGTTTATAATAAACGCTGCGATAAAAGAAAGATGCTTTTTTAAGATTAATGAGGGTCAGTGACCCTCCTCCATCGTAACGAACTCTCGAGGGTCCGAGGATCGACATATTAAGTGATGCTCGATCATGTTTGTCCTCGAGTTTCCGAGCTCTCTAATGGCGTGACAATATCTAAACGCGAAAACTCTTAAATAAACTTCACAACTAAATTTGGACGTAAGCGATGATAAATTGATGGACGTATTCGGATCTGCGGTATTTAATGGTAATTCGGATTTATACGTTGGAACGGAAATGTGATCGTGCGTAAATTTAACCTTTCGGGGCATTTATTTATTTATGATTATAATATCGAAAAGTCCGGGCTGAATGTTTCGTTCGTGTTTCCATATGGGGAAGGTTACTTCTCTTGACGTTCACGAGCAGTAAAGCCACTTTTCAGGGAAAAGGGATGCACATCGAGTCACTAAACGTTGAGACCCTGCAGCCATGTCAAATCCGAAGCCTTTTTCTAAACTTTTCTTCAGAGAATCTGCTTCGGACCTGATCGCAAAAAAATAGTGTAAGAGTTACAAGTGACATACGTTCCTATTTCGGCTAAGATGTTTCCACATTATGGTAGTTATTATTTTCAAAGTTTGAATTTCTTTCGCGCTACCCCCCAATTTGGTTCCATAGTGTGTATAAATAATTCCCGTAAAATTTCACCTTAATCTAAGAAAGGGAAAGGGTGCCCCTGGGCCCTTGAAAATGGAAACACCGTAAAATAAAATATTATAAACTAGTCATAAACTCATCTTTATTCGTATACTTTCTTCCTGGACGTAACCTACCCTAACTCGACCAGTGGTACCAACAAGTAATATATGCTCATACTTTATGCTAACATGAATCGATAGATTCAATTAATCGTTTAATTAAATGGCTCTGTACCGCATTATACGCCACAGGTGCACTTACATTCCAGAGCTGCCCCGAGTACTTTATACCTCTGTACACCTGCGTCGTCTAAGTACGCAAGTACTCTTATCGGTACTTCGTGCCTTTACTCTTGCTTTCTTCGCCAGATGGGTTACATTAATATGAACCCATGATTCGTGTCTCCCTTTTTGCGATCGGGTCCTGGGTGCGATTGCAGTACGCGGGAAAATAATTTCTTTGAAAACCCGAAATTTTAGAAATTGTTCACATTTTAAATCCGTATCAAAGACGGAAGGCCGGCGCTTACGTGCCCGATTACGAAAGGAGTTTGCATTACGTGTATCGTAGTCGCGTGCCATCGCGTGATGAATCAGCTTATCACCGTTATCGCACTTATCGGAACAGCTACCACTTGACGTAAGAGTGGTATCGCGTTAAAGGGCGGATGGAGATTTGATTTTTCCGAGACGTGGAAATCTTTTCCCAGGGAACCTACGAAGTGGAATATGCATAAATTAATCGTCGTAAAATAGAGTTCATAGATATTTATATATATCGAGGATACGTTCGATAGACATTTTTATACGTTGAATTTATGGATTTTCCACGGTAAGCGGTGCCTGGGTATCCTATCATAGGACGGTGAGTTTTTTTTTCACGAATTGAACATTTTTCGGAAAGTCTTCGGCGAGGTGGGTCCCTGATCTCGGGGCAAGGTTGGGACGCACGTGGGCCCGGTGCTCGTAATCGCGATGGGCCCGCAAGAGAGCCAGACGCGGAGATACAGCCGACCGCAAACAGATGTAAACACCCTCCAGGGTGTTTGCGCGTTTTATGGCGGCACGCAGACTGCCCCAGCCCCTCCGAGGCGAGTGCTCTCTTCCTCCACGAGGAGTTCTCCGGGGAAACCCAAAAAGAAAAAAATCGTCCGAGGAAAACTCTCGGCGGACCGGGTGGGTCATCCGAGGAAAACTGTCGAGCTCAATTCGATCCATACCCTAAGAGTAAATTCAAAAATTCACATTCTCGGTGAAATTAAGTACTTGCGGCGATCTAGATATTTTTTGCATAACTAAGGTATAGGGTAACAAGGCCCTTAAGGTGATGTGAAAGAACTCCCGTTCGTGAAACTTCTCTTCTTACTAGGTGCACCGAATCGATTTATACCTTGCAACACAAATAATAGAGAGCATGATAAAGGTCTTGACAGTTGTGAAATTTTAATTTTTAACAATTTTGTCATTTTGAATATTCGTTATGGAAAATAGGTGCGCATCGGTCGTGTGTCAGTGTTTCGGACGGGTTGGAGTAATACCCTTGAAAAAAAATGTCTTGTTCGAGTCGAGTGATTCGAGGGGGGGTTTCACTCCACCTTAATGGTTCGACCGAAATCGGTGATTTCGACTCGCGTATCGTCGCCTGGGTGAATGGGAGTCGGCGCGCTATCTCTAATCTCGTTCTCGGCTATCATGGCGGTCGTACTACGAGACCGAGGATGTTAACGTGCCAGTGCGCCGATTGCGGCTTTCTATCGGGTTCTCAGAGCGAAACAGGCAGCCCGTCGGACTCTCGCGAGCGTTCATTGCGCCGGCAGACGTCGCGGCGCTACGTCGACGCCGTCCGTCGCCCGGTGCATCCGGGGGAACGAGGGACCATTTCGGGGAGATAAGGACGCGTTTAATAGCCCTGGCAAAAAATTGAGGAGGGCCGAATCTGAATCTGCGATCTACTTTGGTTAAGCCCTGGTCTGGAGGGGTCTAAACGGGTGAAATATCTAAGGCGTTAAAAATCTCACCAACACCACCGCGATATCAGACACTTTGGAAATTACGTTTCACGTACATGACATGACAGGGTTCGAGGGAAGTGCCAAAAGTCATTTTGGAATTTTATGGAATCGACGCCTGGTGCGAAAAGTGTCATCTTCGGGGGAGGAAGACGGACCAGATAGATAAGAGATTAGGGGACCAATGGGGCCGATGATAACCGAACTCGAAGATACCGCAAATTTACTCAGGATGAGACCTTTTCGTGGCTTGGATGGTTAAGGGGTCGGTACTCGAGTTTGTTCTTCCCGGGGTCATAAAACGAACCTTACCAGTGATGTATCGAGTTCGGAAGGGGATCGAGATAAAGGGACTTTTCAATCTCTAAAAATCTCGACGTACCGCCTCGATATCTCGCCGCTCCTCATTGCGGATGACAGACCGCGTTTTTGTGAGGCCCTGGAGATAAGGTTAACCTCTGAACCTCCGTACAAAACCTCTTCCGCTCGCTGGACCGATTCTAAACTTATTCCATACTACCGTCGGTCCTTCGATCGTTCTTAGACGAAAGGGTCACTAGCTTGTCGATAAAAAAACCCAGTTTACCAGTGGATAACTTACATGAAGAAAATCCATACGTTTAGAGGAAATCTATGTCTTTATGTATGAAAATCTATACCTCGTATGATTTGCGTGATACTATACGTAATATATACATATGTAATGTACATTGGCACGGTATTACGTCTCAATGTGATCTTACATTTAATTCAAGTAAAAATTCACGAATGCAGTAGATACACCCTGACAAGGGCATTAATACATTTTTTAATATGTAATTATTCCATTTTACGTAAAACTTAGGTGGAGGGTAAATTTTCATGGATTTTTTTTTTTTCTCCAGGGTATACATTTAAATTTCGTCCGCGGTTTTTTTTAGTTCTGGAGGAGTTCGCGGAGGGCGCCACGTCCGAGGAAACTGCGCAGAGGGCCCGAGAGGATGCCGAGGAGGGCGTCAATTCTGAAGGTGGAGGGAGGCCGATAAAGAGCGAAAACGTGACCGAGCACGAAGTCGGCCAGCCGCAGGAAAGACCGCAACGCGAACGGCACCAGCAGCATCCGCAGCACCAGCAGTTAGGTTATGTCGTCGTCGACGAAGAAGGGGACGCCGTGGGCGTGCTGGAGGCGGGTCGACCGGAAATGGAAAATGGCGGGCTGGTGGAGCCGTCGGACACGGAAGCCATCGGAATATCCGTCCGCCCAGCTCCCGAGGACGATCCCGAGACGACCTACACTCTTCATCAGATGGGGTACCACCAGGTGGAAGAAATTATTCAAGAAAGGTAGGCGGTACTTTGAGAATAATCGGGGCGAGGGGAAACGATTGTCTATACACGGGGAAAATAAGAGCCTTATGCCCGCTAATCGTCGGTTAAAATTCATTGCACGTTCCACTACACTTTAACCGCGGGTTAGGTTCCATTAACCGCCGTTTAGATCAACCGGCTAAATTTGAACGAGATTGTGTAAGTTTACAATACGTCGGCAATTATTGCGTTTCAATGAAGTTTAATTTTTAACGTTTGGACGCGGAAATTTTCCCTCACCCTGTATTAGGATAAGATTCTGAGTGTTTTACGAATTAAGGTGATATGAAAGGGTCATTCTACATGTGTATATTTTTATCAAATCTTTCTCGTAAAGGGGTGCGCCAAATCGTTTAAAATTTTGTCACGTGGTTATGAAGGCCCTAAGAACGCGATGCACGTGACATAGATTCGGGTGCCCCCAGTTTGGAGAAAGGTTTGATAAATATTTTCACGCTTTATATGTACAGAATGACCCTTTCGTATCACCTTAAAGGGTTCGACGCGACCCGTCGTTCCGTCTCGGTGGAGCCCCGATAACGCGGGACGTCCCTCTTCATCCCCAGGGACTTCCTCTCCCCCCGCTACGGGGATGCCAGCGAGCCGAGGGAAGAGGAGCACTACCGACAGCAAGTCTCCCATCGTCCCCACCACTACCACCATCAGCAGCATCGGACAGAGCATCAGCGCTACGACCAGCTCGGGGCGGGAGAGGTCCCGGTTCCCGAGGGAGGGGATAGTTGCCCCCCGTCCGAGGCCTCGGTCCCACCGGAGGGAACCCGGGCCTCCAGTCACATGCCGCACTCCACGATGCACCGGTACAGAGCGGAGGTGCTCTCGCCGTCCGACCACCAGCACCATCACCAGGCGCACCACCACCTCGCGCATCGGCACCTCGAGGACCACCAGCGCCGTCAGGATCCCCAGGAAGGGGACGAAGACGGGGATCGAGTTAGCGGAATCGGCGCGGCGATGCGCGGAACCAGGATGGACTTCCCCCTGGGGGTCCTGTTCCCGAGTCTGGGGACCAACGGGGCCGGGAATTCATCCGAGGGCGAGCACCATCACCTGGAGGACGTTCTTCCCGAGGACCCCTACATGCAGCATCACATCGCGGCGGCCAACGGAGGTCCTGGAGACGACGTCTCGCCTAACGTCAGGATCGGCAGCTCCCCAGGGTCCAGTAGAAGTCCTCGAGATGAACCCAACGTGTCCTCTCCTCGACGATCCTCTCAGGACGGAGGGTACAGCCCCAGCGACCAGGGCAGGCTGCAGTCCTTCACCCATCTCACCGACATGCAACCTGCGGCCTCCGTCCAGGGCAACCACGGACTCCAAGACCCGGATCGCGTCGGCGACCCCGTTTACATCGAGTCCATCTATGCCCATCACGCGGTGGGGACGCCGCATCATCACCAGGACCACGACCAAGTGTCGACGCCTCACTCACCGGGTGGACCTCTATCCAGGTTAGTCCGCGGTTTTCTACCGTGAGAAAACAAAGAAAAAAAAAAAATTCATCGAGCAAAATAAATACACCCCTTCCTCTAATTTTACGCGCCACTTCTTGTACGAGAATCTCTTTTTTACGCGGAGACGGTTACGTTTATTTTTTTTTTTTCTTCGCTAATGACAGAATACTTGAATCTTTCTCTCTAAGCATTTGCCAGGGAATTTGTTTATTTAAGGGTTTATTCCCCTTAGGTGGTTTATTTGCAAACATTGTCTCTCGAGTCCCTTCGGTCCTTAAAAGCGCGCAACGATCAAAGGAACGCGACACGTAGGTTGGTGCAAAAATATTTGCCGAAAACCTTTAAGCTCGCCCGACTGTGGGGCCGACCGATACTATCGGTCCAAGCTGATGACGGAACACGATGCCCACTTGTTCATAGCCTATACTAACAATACCAAGACCTTAGGAATATCTCGGGATGGTTGTGTTTGTTGTTCCTCCGCAAAGCGCGCGCGAACCTCTTCGAATTAGACGCAACGTTCGTATACATTACGGAAGTCCTTAGGAAGAACCCGATGCTTGTGAAATTTCATTATTTTAGAGGAGGAATTTCTTTGATTCTTGTCCGAGATAAATAGACACCAGTAATAAAAATGTCGGGATGAAGTAAGCATACGCATAATTAATGAGGGTGTGGAATAATAAGCATGGATGGCAACACTGGTAAGTGTAGCCGAAGAAAAGATTCGTTAGATCGGAGGAGGGACGGGAGGGGTGCGGCGCCGCGAGCCCGGGATCGGAGCAGGTCGGAAGAGGTCGGAAGAGTTCGGGAGGTGGGCCCTGGGTCTCGGCTACCTTCGGGCCCCGGGCCGCCTCCTCCCCTCTGCCGGTGTTAACCGTGCCGGCGATGCTGCGCTCAGTTCTCCTCTGCCCGGTGACGCAGGCGGGGGTCGAGTTCGCGGCGTTGCCGGTCGCATCCCGTCCGACTTGGCGGTTCAAGAGGAGCCAAGGATTCGATCCTTTTCCAGGAGTCAGCTGATCGGCACGCTTCCCCGCGGCAGAATGCAGTAAGCTGGGTTACCGTGCAGGGTTCTCGGGGTTGCGTTTCCATATTTCCGGGTACCGGGGATTTAGCTTTTGTACGACTTTATAGTAATATTATCACGGGGTACGTGGGAGGATCTCTAAGCGCAATTGTATGTGGAGAAGGGTTTCGCGTCGTGATGAGAGCATTAAGAATTTGTGAGGATAAAGAATGTATTAAACAGGGTCACGTCGGTGGAAACGACGCCCTTAATCTACTTCCATCTTTTACGACATCGTTTTACGATCATTCCAGATTTTATAATCTTTCGAGCACACTTCACTTGGAATTCCGTGCCCTTCTTCACCATTGGAGTTAGTTGGGAAAATGCTAAACTGTTAAGAGGTTTGACGTTTAGTTCCTTATTCTCCGTTCTGAAGTCGAATGGGAACGTTAAGGGGATGTGGTCTCGCGGTCTTAATATTTTTCCATTGTATCTTCGCGACGGTGTAGAAAGTTTCGCGATAGCTTCTGTTAGTTTTCGGCCCGACTTCTACTCAAATATTAAGTAGTTAACTACTTATCTTCTCCCGAACTGACATCCACCGTTGCTCCCGGACCTTTATCAGGAGCGGTCCGAAAGTGTCAACTTCCCCTTGACATTCTGTACCGATGACTGTACATCGGTCTCGTTGCAGTTGAGTTTTCGTCAAAACGGGATTCTTACTCAGAGAATGATCACTTGTTTCCTTTAAGGTGATGTGAAACACGTCGAGGAATTATATCGACGTTAATTAAAAATATTCGTCTAAACACCTACATTACCGCGTTCGTATTTTTATCGACATATTCGGTAATGTACCAAATGACATACTCCATATTTTTTTTTTCCTGCAAAAAATTATATAAAAAATCGAAGTAAAACTCCAGAAATTTACTGCGTACACGGATATTGTTTTATGTCACCGTGGTATTCTGCGAGATTAAAGGAGGATATAAGAACTTGTCAATAGTCGACTCATCTCATTAATTTACCCTCCTACATCGGTTTCTCGGTCAGGCTGCATTATCGTGAGAAGTAACTGTTCTAATCGCACTCGAGAAAAGGTCTCGGATAGTATGACGAGTCTACGGGGTCCATAACCTCTGGAATATTGGATTTCGCGAATCTCGCAGTATTTTCTGCGGTGCACAGAAATTCTGCACGGAGGAGAGAGATGCTGCATGGCGAGGACTGCGTACGTCGACAAGGACTGCCACCAAGAAAGGTGGCCGAAGAAGTAGAAGTCAATGGTAGAGACTAGATGTGTGTGTGTGTGGGACCAATGGGTGAAGTGGTGTCGTAATCGGATGACTCTGGATTACGATCTAGTCCATTAGCTTGGGAGAACTTTCTTACCGTTAAAAAGTATTAAACATACCTTAGAAAAAAAAAACATACTTATCTCGGACAAGAATCAAAAAAGCGTATTTTTGTTTTTTTTCTTCTCTCGAAGGATAATTCTGGTGACCGCGATGTCCCGAAAAGTGTGGTCGGTTCAGGGATTAGAAACAAAGAGAGGTAGAGGAGAAGTATGCGTTACGTGCAATCATTAGGGATAATAATTCTAGGAAGAAATTCGAGAGCTTATATTGCGCTCGCACGAACGCCTACTGAGGCTGTATAAAAAATGTTCACGTCGAACTGGAGCGTCGCGTTTGTGCGTGTAAACGTTCCTTCACGTAAACGACTTTTGTGTGTATCGGATACTCGACACCTCGCACAGTTTATTCCATCTCCGGTCGGTGGAGTTTCGGACTTCCGGAGCACGTTAAACGATTCCCTTCGTCGTACTAGCGACTCATTCCACGCGCGAAGGAAAAAGCCCTTAAGGTGGAGTGATACCCTTTTTTTCAAGGGTTTAGATATTTTTTAGGTGGACGACGGACGATTTACATTCCCTATACCTGTTGGCCTAATTTAGACGATTAATTTACGTGTATTCCACTTGATGGGGAATGAACCCTCGATTTCACCTAAATTTGTTTCATTTCACCGAGTCATATTTGATGATGTTTTTTGGGGGGGGGGCGGACGCCCCCACGTCTCTATCGGTCCATCGCCGGGACAAAACATTTCGTAGAGATAAGCGATGGTAGCGAAACTCGAGGCATCGTTCTAACACTTGCTCCGAAATCTCGTGTTACAGTTCGCCTCTGTATCGCACGATGAGTGGAGTCGGTACAATGGGTGGAGGCGCCGTTTGCAGCAACAGTTACTCCTTACCGTACATGACGAGCAATTCTTCGGAACTCACGGCATCCCCTCAGCAACTTTGGTCCTCCCAAGGTGAGACGACGATACGTTAATCCGGAATATTTTTCAATGAAAGGGATTAATTTAGAAAATTATTTTACTTCCCCTTATGGTACTTTACGACTTTACCGATGTAACCGTATTAAACCGTGCCCTGTTTCAGGGTTAAACACGTCACTTCCGGCGATGTCCGAGGAATATTGCAGCAAGTCCTCCGGGACGATGCCCCATCAGAGTTTACCGGCGTTTTCGCAACCCTTCACCGGGAGGCCGTCTTTTCGAGGGTATAGTCCTACCTATTCCTCTCAGCAGACTTCCGGTGTCGTAAGCACCGGTGCTGGGGACACCGCCTCCTGGTCCTACGTTACTCAGTCCAGTGACGTCCTCTCGTCCCCGTACGGACGCGTCGGAGGTGCGTCGCGACGCCAGGCACCGTCGACGCCCACCACGCCTGTTGCGCATCAACTCAGCGCAGCTGCCAGCCTCACTGCGAGTGAGTATATCTTCCTATGTTAGAATTATATCCCGGTGGACGTACAAGAAGAAATTTCATTTCTTCCCCTACTGCCTTAACTTACTTTTTAAGGGGATATTAAATTATTCAACGCGGCTGTCAATGCAAAAACCTACCGCGGCACGACGAGGAAAGTAGCGGTATTCCACTGAACGTTTTTCACGGTGGTAAGAAAAAATGACAATGCCATTTGAAGAAATTTCCCCGTCATCCGTGTCGGGCAATATTTATAACTTTTCGCGCGTTCTCTCACGCCTCAGATTATCCATATCGGATTCCGTGACTTTTTACATACACTGGATGTTTCAAGTACGGCGTGAGACCTCGTTAACGCGTGCCCCATTTAATATTCATAAATTGTTCCCGAAGTCGTATCAATTTTTTTATGTTGGATACCGAGGAGATTCCTTCGTCGCGATCGATCCGATCCATCGTTTTGTCGAAATGTCTATGATCGTTATGATTCGATAAGAAGGGAATCCTGGATTTTTTATGGCCGAGCATCCCTTGTTACCGAATCGCATTATTGTTTGTGATATGATATTGAAGGCGATCGGCTCCCTGAGAAGGAAATCGTTTTCAGTGGTTTCCGTGTAAATAGTCCCTTGGGTGTACAGGTAATATAGTAAAAGGACGACGACGGGAAGGTTCTCTGGCTGGTGCGTTTTGTTATCGGTAATCACCGGAAACCCTGATAACTCCACCCCCGCTGTAGAACTCCGTTCGCCGACGCTCGGTCTGGCTTGTTCTTCCGTTTTCTCCTGGAACACTTGTTCCCAGATGTTCGACCTGCAGGATGTGGTATCTCTTTGACGCCATTCAATTTGAAAAGTCAACGAGAAACGACACCTCGAAACAATAGACCTCTCCTTCTCCTATTCTTGAGAGTATTGCCGAAGTCGTTGAGAGAAAAAAAATGTACAGTACGCAGGTACTGTACAGGAAGCTCAACCTAGTTTCTTGATGTGCTTAGCATAAAAGCGAAAAAGCGTAAAGTTATATCTAACGCTTATCGCAATCCTTTGTCCCAGGGTTCTCAAAGGAGGAATATTTTAACTAGACGTATTTTAAAATACGAAACGTTTCAAATTTTTTAATTTCAAGAGGAAAGCGCATTCGGGCTGTACATATTACGGCAAGGACGTTTAAGTCGGCAGTGGATGTGCACTTAGGTCAAGCCATTATTATTTTCTATTATTCAAGGGGATGCGAAAGTGCCATCCGAGAAGTCAATCGTTCATGAAACGTTTCTTTGTACTGTAGAATCTTTGAAAACATTTAATGAAGAATCGTATAATTGATGGTGACATTTTTGCGCTCTGTCGGTCCCATTGCTACTCGAGCGCGTTTGCATACTTAGAGTTGGAGTTAGAGAGAGAAGGGTATAAGGCGAATTAACATATCACGATGCATCTCTGTAATGGTACAGTGCACGCCATCGAAGCGGAATACTATACCGAGGGCAGGGAATGCGTTAATTGCGGGGCGATTAGGACCCCTCTGTGGCGAAGAGACCGCACCGGGCATTACCTCTGCAACGCTTGCGGACTCTACAACAAGATGAATGGAATGAATCGTCCTCTTGGGAAGCCTACACGGCGCGTGGTAAGCAAGGAGCGACCGTCCGATCCACGTTTGATCGACATTCGATCCACGTGCGATCTACGTCGGTTAGACGTCGCACAGACGATTATGATCCAGAAACCCGCTGATGAGTGGCGTACCAAAAAGTACACGCAAACGAACTACGTGTACTCCATATTTCATTCGATAAAAGCCCGTAATAGAGTTAAAAGATTGGCCGAGAGAATCGGGCCGCCCGTCTGCATCCCAAAGAGCGACCAGGAGCCTCTGTGGAAATTCGCCCTTTTCCTGCCTTTCGGACCCTGACTCTGCTTCTTGGTCCATTCCGTGTGTCTTCCCCAGGAGAGACGGGCGATTGGCGGAGACCCGAAGGACTTTCTCTCTTTCACGTGGAAGCATCCCTAACGTTTGGAATCCTGTCTGTTTCAGTGGCGGACCAGGGCGAATTGTACAAAAGCTTCTATGGGTATAGTGGTCCTCCTCGCGCCCCCGAGGAGAAATCGAGCCGCCGTTCGGTAGGTGTCAATTCCCGATCGGTCTCTATTCGTCTCTTCTTCTAATCTCGTCCCCACGGATCCCGATATTCGAATTTATAGGGATCCTCCCGTGCTCGAAAAAGGAATGGAAAAATATCCTATGGATTTTAATCGCATTGCACGTTTCATGGTACCTCTTGCGTTCTTCGTCAATGCGATACTAAACTTGTGTCCAAGGATTAATCTTCTGGAAAATGTAAAAGCGTTGTCTTTTTTTAGCACGCGTGGATCCATCCGTCCATCCTTTCCGTACCTCGATCTTTTAAGGTGATATGAAAGGGTCATTTTATACATGTAGAACGTCGAGCACTGACAGTATAAGCATTTTCTTTTTTTTTTTCTTTCGATGTACGCACAAATCTCTGTTTTATCGATTCCTCTCTTTGTCTTGTAGTTTGAGGTGCCACTATACCCATGGTAACCGCTCTCCTTTTCGATATCACGCAAACCCTCGTTTCTGGTAAATGGTTCTTTAATCAATTTATCTTCTACACGGTGATTTCCGTGAAAGCTGATAATGCAGCATTACGGTTGCATTGTGGCCATAAATTTTATAGAAATGGACGAGATACGTAAGTGGAGGATGTCCGGAGGAGGTGAGGTTAGGTTATGTATTTTCCGTCTTTAAACTTTGATATTTTTTACTGCGCAAGTATGGAATATGTTTAGCATTTACACAATACGTTTTACTCCCAAAAATTATCTTACGTTATACATTACAAAGCCGTATGTAGCGGTTGTTGTTACGTAACGTGGGACACTATCGCTTAAATTTCATGTAAGACTCGTAATGATAGTGTATTGTACTTCTAAAAAAATTCAGAATGGAAGAGAATTTTTTTTGTCTAACCTCCGGACACTTGCACGTATTACACGTATTACACGTACTGAACTAATGTCTGGCCCATTTCTATAAGATTAATGATTATAACAGCCGATTCGTAAAATTCAACGTCTTAATGAATTTTCCCTAGACCATAGCGTGACATCGCAAAGGCTTAAAATTGCCGGAAGTAATTTTTGCACCGAAAGGTTTTTGGAATTTAAACGTTATTTTTTTTTGTTACATTTAAACTATTTTTCAAAAGTAACAAGGTGCCTCTGTTTAGAAATTGTCTCGTACTAATTTTTAATCGCGAAAGGCATTATTACGCGATAACTTAATTATACATATTGGAAAACATCTGTGCAAGATACTTCCGGATACTCAGGGAAAATTTAGGGTTAGGCACCTTTCCTGGTACTTACGTTTCTTTCTGCAAGATATTTTTTTTCTTCCCTTATCCCTTCCTTACGTAAAATGAGAATGTTAACTTTTGCGCCATTACCGATGATTAGTTGAAGGTTGTCGAGGTCGGAAATAATCTACATTACGAGGAAAGAGATTTTTTTTCCATTCAATTATATGAGGTTCGTAAATCCAGATTTTATGTAAAAAAAAATGAAAAACCAGGAATTTCTCGATTAGTTAAGGTAAATAACGCATTTAGATATTTCTCTTAAAACGAAGTGTAGAGAAATGACCTCCGACAACGAACGTCCGCCATGTCTGTGGTTTGTCTTCCTGTAACAATTGTTTCTTTTCACAGTCCGCGTCGAAGCGTGCAGGCGTATCGTGCAGTAATTGTCATACGACAGTGACAACTTTGTGGCGGCGAAATTCCGCGGGAGAAACGGTCTGTAATGCGTGTGGACTGTATTCAAAGTTGCACGGCATTAACAGACCTTTGTCAATGAAGAAGGACACCATTCAGACTCGGAAGAGGAAGCAGAAGGGCGGCATGAAATCCACCGACACGCCAATTTCTCGGGCCGTTGTTCCCTGCAACATTAATAACAATAATAGCATCAATAACAATAACAACAGTCTGAAAATTGAACCAGGTATGTATATTGGCTCGATGGGAAATTAACTCAGAGGGATGCAATGTGAAAAAGTGGCTATTCTAAACTCTAACGTTCATTCAGAGAGAAAGTATCTATTACATGCAGAAGACATCCCATTGTTACTACGTACAGGCACTGATGTATCGCGGACCCTCTCGGTTGAATAAGACATGTTGACGTTTCAGATCATTTCGCTCATCTTAGAGTGAGTCATGACACACTTGCCCAAGTGTCGTACCCCAGCATCCTGTATGGAAATTCCCAAACGACCACCCGAATTATGTCGTACCAACCGACAACGACAAGCCCGTATTACGATATGATGACCTCGCAACAGCAACAGCACCAGCAACAACAGCACCAGCAGCAGCAACTCATCGATGGCCATTCTCCAAAAGCGGAGTGCCCTTCCCCACCTGTGGGTTCTCCAGTCGTTGGGTTCCCTGGCCACTCACCTGATCATCATCAGCTGACCCCGTCACATATCGTCACATTGGGATATTCATCGCCTAGTTCCACTTGCAGCAAGGTCATGATGGAAAATGGCCATTTAGAGAGACACACCGTGGTCTCGATATCGTCATAGGAAACCGTGGACGTTGTTACTGGTCGCTATTGTAAAATTCTTTCACCTTTCTTTGCCCGATGTGATAGGTATGGACCTGATATCGATATTAGTCATGTGGCGAGTCGAATACTTTACCAACTCGAATGACTCGATTAATGCCGACTCGAGTAGAATTGATGTAATGAGTTGAGTACTTGATCGATTCGAGTCACTCCAACATTGCTAACTTGCTTGGCCTCTGACAGATAATAATCTCTCTGTGGTGTACATAACGTTTTCCAAAAACCTTTCGATAGTTCAATGGTAAGGCTAAGTTTGTAAATATTTCTCTTAGTTTATTGTTTCTTTAGCGTTAGGCTTCCTTCGACGAGGTGACTCGTTTTTCAACGTCATTTTGGATCTTCATTGTTTAAGAAGGGCCTCGAGATAATAACTTCGGTGTGCAATTTCGACATGTTTCATAGCTTGGATTCCACCATCGGGACTGGGGTGAAAATCATTGATTTTTTTATCCTTGGAATTCTTATGTTTTTCCAGGTTCGCGTTGCAAACTATGTTAGATATCGTAGACATATGCTACCTTGCCTACCCTCGTTATATATGTATAAGTATTTATATAAATTTATATAATTATTCGGAAATAGGGTCCCGTTTCATTTAATCTTTCTCAAATTATTTCACGGTGAAATTCTGTAAAATTTATGCTTTCTTAAAGGAAAAGAAATGTTAAATTTTTATCGAGAAAGAGAATACAAGACTTGATCGATACTTAATCATAAACCAAATGAATTCGTTAATTTGACGTATTTAGTTGAATAAATGAAGGAGGGTGTATCTTAATAATTTTTATAAACATTGAAAAGCACGATTACAAGATTGTTTAATTGTTAACTGTTCGCGGATATATCGATAGCTCAGCAATTTTGGTATTCAAACTTTTCAAAACATATTTGATCGGACCGCGAATAAAAAATTATTGCCCATGTCACTAGTCAGTTATTAATGTCTCTGTATTTTATCAAAATTGTTTGGAATTGGAATTTCAATAGAGAGAGTGTCGATAGATCGTTCAATTCGATCGCGTGTTCAAATGTTATTATTTTTGCATGGTCATTGAACATGTCCGTTTTCCATTGCGGTTTAAAAATACCATCTAAGGGCAGGAATGGCTTTACCAAAGACTTCATGATGTCGGTTTAATATTACATGTTACCAACAAGTTTGACGGCGAATTTATAGGAAAATGGAATAACGTTTGCCGAATATTTTCTCTTAACTCTTACCAAAGACATTTCCGGCTGAACGACTTTTGTAATAAAGAAGACACTTGGGATGCCGCCGAAATGTAATCCCTGTCCTCTGTACATAGATATTAATTGGTAGATAAGTGGAAGTAGAATTATTCTAAAAATAATCTCACTAATGGTGAATCATCGTTATACATAAAACAATGCGAGACAACTTAATGAGGTGCATTCCCGCGAAAGTTCGCCAAGAAAGATTCCGATTGTTACGCGTGGAGGCCATACGGTTTACAATAAAGTATTAATTATTTTTATATCCTTAACCGAAGTTCCAGCAGAATGGCACGTTGTTTCTCTCGACACGTTCGTATCGTCTTTTAACAGATTATTTACCGGCGGATTTGGGGATAAATGGCGATCACGTGAATTGCAAAATCGATTATTAGGCTCTCGGTAGATAATGTGATAACACATAACTGATAACTCGTCCCCTCGTGTTTAATTCAACGACCATATACAAATCCATCTCTTATAATATATTTTTCGGAATGTTGTATCGAGTCATCGGTTTATCTCAAATAAAAAAAAAAAGTAATTTTCACCTCGTGAATTCTTCTTCAACTGATAATAATTTCATTACGGAAAGGGAAAAGGTATATCATATCACCTTAAATATTCCGGATTGGATCCTAAAACACCTGAATCCCCTAGATATTAAATCCTGGATATAAAATCCCCAATCCGGCGACCCTGCCCCAGGAGATATTTCCTTCGGACGTATCGGCGTCCTCGAGGAAGGTCGACTTTGACGTACTCGGTGCCTCGAGGAGGCGTCGTCGATAAGCGTCGCTTACGCGGGGTGATACCACCGATACGAGCGATTATGCCCGCGGTGGCGGAATCTACGCGAGCGGACGATAAAGGGTTGCGGGAGGGAAAAAGTTGGCACGGCCAGACCGGGCTAATAGCGAACGAGATTAGCCTATCGACGACGTCCGGATGAATGGGAGTCGACTTGCGTGACGATTGCGCTATCTCTAGTTCTACTCTGGGCTATCATAGCGCTCGTACTACGGGCCGAGGATGTTAACGCACCACTGCGCCGATTGCAGCTTTCTATCGACTCTTAAGGTGATACGAAAGTGTGATATACACGTAGCAGAAAGTAAGAGCATGTATAAAACCTTTCTCCAAACTGGGTGCAAGAAATTAAGAGAAAAAAATAATATCTTCTCTTGGCTTTTCCAAAATTCAAAACCTCGGGTTACCGTCGTTTTAGCATAGCAGACAGCCGAACGCAGCCGTATCGGCGTCCTTTCCGTTGCCATGGTTTCCGTTGGAGAACGCGTTTGGTTGGCCGTGCTTCAATTAATTATTATAGGAAAACTAGGCACTCTAGGAAAAAATGGTAGAGGACTTTTCGGCTCCTTTTTTAATAAGGATCGCGATGTATAAGCCGTCACTGAGGGTTTTGTTACACCCTGTATGGATCAGTGGCCAAGACCGAGACTAACGAAACTCGGTGATACTCAGATTAGGAAAATTGGATCTTTATGTGGGAAGGGTCGGACGAGGACTTCGGTAACTGGAGTTTCTTCTTCGTGAGGCCATTAAACGGACCTTAACAGTGATATATCGCGTTCGGAAGGGAATCGAGATAAAGGGACCTCTGAATCTCTAAAAATCTCGACGTACCCCGTCGATATCGCTCGGCCCCTCATCGGTGATGACGGCTCGTGTTTTTGTCAAGTCCTGAAGATAAGGTTGACCTCTGAACCGAAGTGTACCAAACCTCTTCCGCTCTTTGGCCGTTTCTAAACTTGCCGAGCTGCTACTGTTGGTCCTCCGATCGTTCTCTACCCTGTTAAGGTGATATGAAAGTGCGATATATACAATACCGAAACGTCAAAAACATTTATGAAAATTTTCTCCAAACTGAGTGAATCGTTGGAACTTCAGCATGTGATTATGGAGGCCCTAAGGAAGAACGAGGCGCTAGTGAAATTTCAATTTTTTATAAAAACGCTTTTCATTCGTCCCAAACTAGAACTAAAACATATTTTTTTTCTGTTTTTTTTTTTTTATGAATTTTCACGAGCACCATGTTTTCCCTTAGGGCCTCCATAATCACATGTTATGTTTCCCCCGATTCTCTGCATCCAGCTTGGGGAAAAGTTTTATAAATATTTTGACGTTTTATATTTTTAGAATGACCCTTTCGTATCACCTTAATGATGGAAAATTTTCTTTATGTTTCGAGAGCTTACAAAGAGTCACGACGCTCGATGTATATTACGACTGGCTTCTGTTTTCTGCATCACATGATTAATCGGGGTCGTGGCTCAACATCGAGACGTTCTCAAGCAACAATGAAAGAGATAAGGGGGATTCTGCACAGTCGTGGAATTGTTTAAGTTTAAGCTGGTATATATATTTACTGCAAAGATACGTTCTCGACGGTAAGTTCCTCTACGTGTTTCACTTCACCTTAATGCGTTTTTTAAATAGCACTAAAGCCGGAATTCCAAGTATTTCTAACTAGGGTCCCCTTGGGGATAAATAAACCGAGGTACTTGAAATTAACTACTCGTCAAATTATCCTGGGGAGAATTAACAGATCGTAAAAAGGCGCATTCCTCATTTTGATGGAATCCATTGCTCGCAGTACCGTGCCGATAATCCATTGAGCCTGACCTCTCCAATTCGATTAGGTAATGTCAATAAGGTCGGCTCAATGTTAAGTACACCAGTAACATTCTGGATATCGCTAATAAACATTGCCTGAAGTGAAGTTTGACGGAATTGAGTAGACGTTGATTAATTACTGTTTAATCTGGAAGTCAAGACGAAACCATGCGAGTCCTTTTAAAGGATCTTGGAAGAGCGATATATCTGTCGGATGGATATAAAAAATTACCCCGTAATTTTCGGCACTATTATCAAAGAAGTGTCTTTTTCGAATCGACTTATTTGAGGGTTTCACTTCGCCTTAACGTACACTGCACGTGACGTTTACTTGTTTCGTGAATTGCTTGAATCGTGGATTATTCCGTATTTAATAATCCAGAGAATTAACCATGGTTCAGCATTGAACTTTAATTACTGGAAATTATCATAATGTCCCCTCGACACATCTCCCGGCGATTTATCTGGTAGTTTCTCAAATGCTCTCATTGGTAACTTCTGATAAGCGCTAACACTCATTGGGTGTCACAACTGGTTTTTATGTGCCAGCTAATCTAGTGAAACATTCAGGCGTCGGAATAAGACTCTTGCAGACGTCAATTAAACGCTAAAGCTAAAAGTTGTTTATAGGTCCAACTCGTGTTAGCTTTTCTAGATCGGTGATGCGTTTCTTTTCTTTTTTTTTTAAATGTTTCTCCTGTTTTCCACATGGGAAAATCACGCCCAGCCGCGCACGCCGTGCTCACGCAATGCGTGACGCGGCGTGATCGTGTAGTCAGTGGTCCTGCGACCAGCTGACCCGAGGTGATTAAAAATAATTTTTTATCAGCAAGAGAGCAGCGCGCGAACCGGCTCGACCCTCTCGTTGCCTCTCTCTCCGACGCACTGGTCAGCCACTCGGTCTCTCTCTTTCCCACTCACGGCGGCCTCGCCTCTCCCCGACACGAGCGGTCGACCCCCTCGTTGCGTCTCTTTCTAGCGCACTGACCGGCCAGTCAGTCGCTCTCTCTCCCACTCACGAGGGCTCGCGCTCTCTACGTCCGCGCGCGAACTGTCTCGACCCACGTCGTTGCGTCCCTTTCCCGCGCACTGGTCGGCCGCTCGCTCGCTCTCTTTCCCACTCACGGCGGACTCGCCTCTCTGCGTCCGCGCGCGAACGCTCCTCCACCAGCAGCGGCGGGTGATAAGGGACCGCGGTTATTTTTGTAGTGCACCGGCTAGCAACAGTTCTCCCTGAACGATTGACCTCCGTTTTTCGACTGTCAATTGACCCGGACGTTGGTCTCGAATACGGTGCACGATCTAGCCCCGAAACCGGGTGTCGTTGCACCTTCCTCGAGAAACTAACCAAACACTTTAACGCTCGTCAATCCTCGATATTAGATAATATTAGTCGGTGACGATTAGGATATCTCTGCTCTTCTACGTCCAGATTGATTTATTCTGAAATCTATCTATATCCTCTATCTTGATAACGTCTCAAAATCCACCGCTTCATTTTATGACAATTATCGCAATGGTAAATATTCTTGCAATAGTTCATAGATAAAATGGCTACGTTCGATTTTAACTTCTGCCGTTCGCGAATGCTTTTTAATGTGAAACGTAGACCACCACCACCAGTACCTACTTCGACGGCAGCAGCAGTCGAGGTATGTCGTCGACGACCAAGAGGGGGACGCCGTGGGCGTGCTGGAGGCGGGTCGACCGGAAATGGAAAATGGCAGCCCGACGGAGCCATCGGACCCCACAGACATCCGGATATCCGTTGGTAAGGATCGCGGGAACAACCTACATCCTTCATCGGCCATCTTGTATACCAAATCATTCGTTAACCCTTTAGGTATAAAGCGCCCATAAACCTTACTATAAGCTTTTCAAGCCTACATGGAGAAGGCATTGCTATATAGTATGCACATAGGAAAGTTTTTTACATCGAATGAATATTAATTGCGTGCAATTTCTTTCTGATACTTTTTCCTGGTTTTTCTATTTTTTTTTTTTTCGAAGCGACATTCAATTGTAGCATGTATTTAAATATTGTCGCAGAGATTTCTTTTTTGGGAATAGTGATGGGACGACAAAATGTTTGATGGTTAGTTACTAGTTTTTACAGAAAATTGTAAACTGTTTATATTTTACAAACAATAGTGGCATTTAAAGCGTCCATCAATGCCGAGCTAATGTCAGTACGATAACTGGGGTTATTTACTGCCGTAGGATAATTCTGGCTTGAGAAAGCGTGCACACTACTTTAAAAGATGATGCCTCGAGGAAAACATATTTTTAAATTTGATAACACAATTATGCCATTTTATTATGAGTCTCTATTGTTTTAACGTTAATCTTCCATACCCGCTTCATTAATCGGACGTTTTGTTTCGGATGCAGAAATTTACGTATTGGCCCTCCTTGTGGAAAGAGAAACAGAAACAGAAAATGCTACTATCCGTAACAAAATACTGTGTGCAGTGTAATCACTAATGCGATAATCCTCTGTAGGGGGTCTACACGCAAATCAAATTACACATATTTAATAAAAACAAATTGCCACTCGAATAGTAATATTTTCTATGATAAATGCTATCGCATCAACGTTATAATACTAATGTACCGAATACTACACGGTCTTATCTAATAAAATGGTCTTACTTTTCATTTTTTTAAGGTTACGTGACATCCATGAGACATACTTCTTGATAAGCACTCCGTGTTGATATGATCTGTCTGCCATCCTCACACTTTTCAAGAAATCTACAAATCTCAATAAATACGAACTAGAGATTAGCTATTCGTATGAATACCACGTAAGTATTTGATTTAACCATACGCTGGAAATTATTCAGTACATCGGTTAAGTAAGATTTTTTAAATCATTCCTGATACCCGAAAAATGAAATTCCCCGAGCAGCGCGTTCTTCCTTAGAGCCTCCATGATCACGTGTTAATGTTTCAGATAATTCGGTGCACCCAGTTTAGTCACGTGACTTTGACGTCTCTCACCGATCATAATGACAGGCCGACCGCCCTATCTGGGCATGGTCAACAGACAATTTCATCCCCATGGTCAACAGCCAATTTCATCCCCATGGGCAACGCAGCATCCCCTGGGACTTCGATTCGATATACCTTCCCGGATACGAGGACGGGGTGTCCAAGGGAGGAGCAGCGCCACCAGCTACCCCACTACCGGGGCCATCGTCGATACCACCACCACCACCAGCGTGACCATGATCAGCATCAGTCGGAGCACAGCTACGGGGCGGGAGAAGTCCCGGTTCCCGAGGGAGGGGATAGTTGCCACCCGGCCGAGGCCTCCGTCCCATCGGAAGGAAACCGTGCTACCAGTTACATGCGACACTTCACGATGAGTCGTTACGGACCGGAGACCCTTTCCCCGTCGGACCACCATCACCACCACCACCACCACCACCAGCAGCAACAGACTCAGCACCACTTGGAGGCGCACCAGCACCCTCTGTCGGCCCACCGGCACCTGGAGGATCAGCAGCACCACAAATCCCAGGACGTGGACGAGGACGTGGACAGGGTGAGCAGCATCGGTGCGGCGATGCGCGGCACCAGGGGTGACTTCCCCTTGGGGGTGCTCTTCCCGACCCTGGGGGCGGGTGGAGGGAGTGGAAGTTCCTCCGGGAACGACAACATGGGCAATCATCACCACCTGGAGGACGTCCTCCCCGAGGATCCCTATTTGCAACACCACATCAGAGCCGCGAGCGGGGGTCCAGGGGGTGGCGTTTCGCCCCCCGTCAGGACGGGCAGTTCTCCGGGATCCAGTCGGAGTCCTCGCGAGGATCAGGGTATCTCTTCCCCTCATCGGCACTCCCAGGAAGGCGGATATAGTCCCAACGACCAGGGGAGGCTGCAGTCCTTTACTCATCTCACCGCCATGCAACCTCCACCTTCGGTCCAGACCAACCATGGACTCCAGGACACGGACCGGGTCACCGAGCAGATTTACATAGAATCCATTTATGCTCATCATTCCGCCAGTACGCCTCATCATACCCAGGATCACGATCAAGGACCTGCCCCACATTCGCCCAGTGGACCTCTGTCCAGGTTAGTCCAGAATTAGGGTGATATGGGCACGCGTTATCATTTTAGGTTTTTCCTCGAAGCTTTATTCAGACATCGTGTACTAACTTAAAGTTAACGTCTAATCGACTGCTTTGAGAGGGGTATCGCTTTATCTTGAGATCCTTAAGGTGATGTGAAAGAGACGTCAAAGAAGTGTCCTTCATGAAACTTTTCTCCAAACTGAGTGTACCGAATCGCTTCAAACTTTGCAACTTAAATACGGAGGCTATAAGAAAATTCCATGCAAATACGAGTTCTACATTTTACTTGATCGTTTTTTCAATTTATTTAAAAAAATGTAATAATTCTTTTCGCAAGGTTTGGTGTAAATGAGGTTTTTTTTTTAGCTGTAACGATACAGCATTTATTTTAGATATTAATTAGAGCAGTTTTCTGACATGAGATTATTAACTTTATCGCGTTTTTAATGTCGAATTACGAGGTAGTACTTTGGTCATGGGGCTCAAGGTTATCGTTGCTTCATTATCATTCCCAAGCACATTGTAAGCATGTAGTAGCGCGAAACTTTAATACAATATTATAATACTCTAAAATATACCTTCGGTTAGAAACTAAATTCGAAGACAATATTTTATTTGAACATAGACTTTAAAAGACCAACATGAATATGAATATCGGTAACGTGACGGCTTATGCTATCACTTGAGTATTCAATTTGGCATTACCACCAAAAAGGGTGAGGATGTGAATTTAACGTAATCGACGTCGATTAAATTTCCCAGCGCCTTTGATATCACCTTAATTGCCGCACCTCGATCCAATCGACCAATTAACTCTCTCCCTGTTATTGAACATTGCGCAATTAATGTCCGCATGATCTTCGAGCAACAGGAAGAGGGTTGGTAGTTCCTAAAGAAGAAGCGCCGACCACGCGTCGGACAGATAGCGAATGGATCATGTTGCAAATAGAACAACTCGTGCGTTCTATCGCGTACAGTCGATAAACTGAGAAATGCGATTATTACTCACGGCTCGGATCAACGACACCTTCTCGAGTCCTCTTACAGGACGGTACAATACAGCGTACCATTTTTTTACTTTTATAAAAAATGTTACATAACCTCTGAAAAATACGCAACTACTTCCCACGTTTATCATAACCTCCTTCGAATGCATTTCTCCGTCGTTACGCTTGCGCGGAACATTAGCCAATCAAAGTTAGGCGTAAAACACCCGCCACCCTCCCGTCAGTAGCTTCCCTCCCGCATTACACTCTATCTCTATATTCCTATGTCTATGGTACATACCTACGCGGCGGGGGGTCGCGCGGTATAAGTATACCTGCGCGGCGCGGAAAGGGCGCAGTCGCTGGGGGTCGGCCGTGCGTTGCGCTTGGCGGAGGACGCGCGGAGGAGGGGGAGCGGATTCGGCGCTCGGCCCGAGTCTAGGGCCGGAGGGTGGGGAGGGGCCGGCCGAGGCGCAGGAGGCTCCACGCGTCCCGTAGATACGTCGGAGGTGGTCGGCGGAGATCGGAAGAGGTCGGCAGAGTTCGGGAGGTAGGTCCGGGCAGGGGGAGGGGGGGAGTCCTGCCACCTTCGGGCGCATCGCCATTCCCCGCCGAGTTTCGACCGTTCCGTTCAGTCCTCCTCTGCCCGGTGACGGATACGGGAGCTGACCTCGCGAACGACCGACCCGAATTCGGTGGAACCTGCGTCTACGAGAAGTTCCAGATCAGAACCTCCGGAAGAAGACCTAGCCGGAAGGGCCCGCATCGGAATGTAGTGAGTTGGGAATTGACGATGTTTATGTCCACTTGGTGATGCGCTCAAACACTCTGTCCGGGTGACGCAATTCATGTTGCCAGTTTGAAGAAAAGTTTTAGAAATATTTTTACGGTTTATATATATATAGAACGACCCTTTCATATCACCTTAATGGGACACGATGAGTCGTCCTGCAGGAAAGTCATGTGGGATAATTCCTAGGTGCCCACGAGTCGCGTGTCAATGTTTCAGACGGTTCGATCCGATATCCTTAAAAAAAAGTGTTTTATTAGAATCGACTGATTTGAGGGTGGGTTCACTTCACCTTAATGCTGCTTGTATATTTTCCCTTACCTTCTCAAGTCGGTGTAAAATATTTCGGGGCAGGCCTCGTCGGTTTGCGACGCGCAAACACGAAATAGTGTTCTACTTATCTTCCAGCCGACATCCAACGTTCCCCCCAGGAACTTTATCGGGAACGGCTCGGAAGTGTCAACTTCCCCTCGGGATTCGGCTCCGATAATTGAACACCCATCGTATACCTCGAAATCCTCAAAGCAATTTTCACTTAAATATCCATCCGAAATTTACTGCATTTATCATTCACGAATCGCATTAAATTTCCAAAGATTTTTAGGGATTTCCGTTTGCGATTATCCGCATGATTTCAAGCGTTAAAATCCATGATTTACTGAAAAAATTACCCCCTCGGAAAACACGGTAATCGCGTAGATTCTTGTAGAATCGGGTGTACAAGCGGAAGTTTAGGAGCGCGCGTGCGCGTTACCTCGTCGTTCCACGTCGAGACTTTCCGACAGGACGAGTCTAGTATGTCGTACACTTAGGATGCACTTTAAGTGCCTCCTAGAACACACTTGGTGTTCGCTAAAAAAGGCTCGAACGGGTCAAAGAGGAAACGAACCAGGGACAGGAAAAACCGCTACGACGAGAACATTGAAGCAAACGAGGTTCAGACTTTTTCGGGAAAATGCATTTTCTCCATTAAAGACGTCTATCGTTACGTGGGGACACCCTGGAAGAACATTGACGACATTGATAACGTTGGTTTATCCGTTCACTCACGTAAAGGATTGCCGATTAAACGTAGCAGCGGATATAGCTATGATCGTGCCGATACATTTTTCTCCCGAGTGCACGCTGCCTCGACGATAATAACAAATTTACATGTCAACTCACGCCCAATAGGAATCGGTAGATGGTGGGAGATATATTTTCGACACCGCTGCAGCTTCAGTGAGGGGACAAGTGTCTCCGACACGTTTCGCGACGTAAATATTTTCTCTGCACCTGACTCGTGCACGGGAGCGTCGTCCTTCCGCACGTGTACGGTCCACTTTAGCAAGTGTGCTTTTTATGTCTTTTAAACCTGTACATCTGCACTGTCTGACATTTTTTCTTTCTTGTCCAAGATGAATGGAAATTTGTTTTTCTACAAAATAAATAAATAAATATATTTTTTTTTATTTAATTATTTCTTACGGAGACATATATATATATATATTACCTAATAACGAGCACAGATTCTTGTCCCTCATTTTCTGCTCTCATTTCGCGCCGTGCCCAACTTCGAAGCCGCCGATGCTCAAACATCGGCGCGATAAGGGCGAAGAAGACGGTATCGATGAGCGTTTCTTCGAGCTGATAAGCGGGTGGTTAGCGGTGGAGTTGCGGCGACACGTTCCGCGGCGTCGATGTTTGGCCGCGGCGAGCGCGCACCTCTCAGTCGCGTCCTCCCCTGCGGCCGCGCGGGAGCGTATCCTAACCTATAAGGCGGCCGTTCTCGCGCGCTCGCAAAGGTTCCCCGAGACACGTTCCGCCGTGACGGAACGTGCCCCGGCCGCGGTGTCTCTCGCCAAGGCCGAATCCGTATTGACACCTTTCCGAACGTACTCTTCGGCTCTGTTGTTCTCTTCGGCGCGAATCACCCACGCCTCGTCGTGGTGTTTTCCTCGCGGCGGAGAAATATATGCCCCGGTGCGTCTTCGCCGCGCATTGCCTTCGAGGTGGCTTAAGGTGAAGCGACCCCCTCAAATCGGTAGACTCGAATGAGGTACTTTTTTTTTTTTTTTTAAGGGTATTACCCAGGCTACCCATGAAGTGGAATATACGTAAATTAATCCTCTAAATTAGGTACATAGGTATGGCGAATGCGTATCGTCTATTAAGTACCCGAGGAGTATCTGGAGTATCGAATATTGGAGCACGATCAACGTGTCTCGATCTTGAAATGCCTAGTTTCGGGAATTTCCGATCGTCCGCACCTAGACGTCGTCTCGACGTCTGATTTCAAGGGGTGGTCCTCGGGGAAGTGCCCGACGAATAACTGGAATACCTCGTCGGTTCCTCATCGGGCAGCTTTCCCGGGGGTCCGCGTTTCTCCCGGGCCCTTACGGCTCGCGTTTCCCGTAGATAATCCTTAACGGGAAGATCTCCGGGAAGTGCACTCACGGTGGAGGTCCTCCGGGACCCCGAGGCGGGTCCAGGTACGGAAACGCGTGGAGGCGGCCCAGGTACAAATGGCCGTCTCGGTCCGGGGACCAGACCGGCGCTTAACGGTAGGGAAAACGACGTCCCCGTAATTCCTGGCCCATGGCGGTGGTAATGGAGGAGTCGTGTAATGGCCCCCTGCCTTGCCCGAGGAATTCCTCGGGGGCACGTGCCCGCATTCGGGATGCGACCCCCGTAGTTCCGGTCTCCCGCAAGGGTTACTTCCGGCAGACCCCCTCTTGACGCTTCCTATTCCGCTAACGGCTCGGTAAAAGAGACCACTCAACGGACGCGACATCTTATCAGCTTGCCGCATATATTTACGGGCAACTACCTCAGGGTAGCGGAAAAAAAAAATAGTAGAGGAAGGTGGCCACGTACCCGGAGCTGCAACCACATACTATAGGAAGGTTTTACCCGTTGCAAAGTCGTTCTAAACTTGCCGCCGAGTTATTCCTTAGAGCCTCCACGTGTCGAAGTTTCCGACTATTCGATGCATCCACTTTGGATAAAAGATGTATAAATCTTTTGACTATTTGGGACTGGATATGTCACACTTTCTTCCGTACGTTGCCTTGCGATAGGGTCACGATCACCACAATTGTGGTTTTCTTAACCATTCTTTTTTTTTTTCCCGTGATTAGTCGTCTAGATTTGTATCCTCATTTGGCCTCGCGTGTCTCGTATGTCTTCGTGCTCGGATCTGTACTCGGTTTAACGCGACTGGATCGGCGATCGAGAGATGCGATCTGAGAAATCCCAGGGGCAGGGGCGTGCTCGGCCACTTGCGTTTCCCATCGACTCATCCTCTGGATGAGACGCCTCGTGGTGGGGCAACTATGCTCTAACACTTGCTCCGAAATATCTCGTGTTTCAGTTCGCCGATGTATCGCACCATAAACGCAGTCGGTACCATGGCTGGAGGCGCCGGATGCGGAAACGGGTACAGCTTGCCCTACATGACGAGTAGCCCTACGGAGCTTACGTCGTCCCCGCAGCAACTATGGTCCACTCAAGGTGAGAAACTGGTACTAACATTAGGGGTACTCATAAGCAATCCATTTTTTTTTTTTTATTTTCTTTACGCAAGAATATCTAGAAATGATTCCCTGCTACCAGGGTAGTTCAGCTCGGGCATTAATTTCTCTGCTTGTCGGCAGTTTCAGGCCTGACCACGTCGCTTCCCGCGATATCGGAGGACTATTGCAGCAAGTCCACTACCACGGTGTCCCACCAGTCCTTACCAGCGTTTTCCCAACCCTTCAGCGGAAGGACCTCGTTTCGGGGGTACAGTCCACCGTATTCGTCTCATCAGACTACTTCTGGGGTCGTCAGCAGCGCCGCTGGGGATGTCACCTCCTGGTCCTACCCTGCACAGACGGGCGAAATCATCTCGGCGCCGTACAGCCGCGTCGGGCCCTCGTCCCGACGTCAGACCCCGACGGCGCCCACCTCGCCAGCTCAACATCAGCTGAGCGCGGCTGCCAGCTTGACAGCGAGTGAGTAATTTTCTCACCTAAGGGTTGTATTCGTTAAATAACCGTGGTCGTGTAGAAAATCTGCAAGGGCGATCGGGAAGGCCGGGCTGGGATCCTGACTTCCCAGGGCGGGTCTGTTAGGGTGAGGATAAGCTCCCCCTGATTTAATTACCCTAGGTTAGGTTCGAGACGGCCGGAACTTATTCTTTAATCTAATATATTCGGATGTCGCACTTTTCATTGCAAAGCTTAACTAGGACGTCATAAGGTGGCCCGGTCAATGAAATACGGCGGGGCATAATGAAAGCTAATTTTGAACATAAGCGGCAAATTAATTATTCCTTCATAATTCTTACGCCTTAACGCGCAAACCGAGGAGGAATTCTTTTACCGAGTCTTACTCACAGGAGATCGAAAGGACGATGGACGCATGCGAGAAACTCGCACGGATTCCACGTCACGTGAGCTGTCAGGTGTTTACGAATTTTTCCCGACATACTCTCACGCGTCCAGATTGTCCATGTCGGATTTCGTGCCTCTTCTCTCGTACGGTGGATGTTCTCAAGCGATATAAGGTGTACAAAAGTGTCAGGACGAATGTGCGACAATTCAGAGCACTCTGGTAATCGATAAACTCGCATTTGAACGCGATAAGGGAAAAACATTCAGTCGATTAGGGCCTCGGGAACCGTGAATCCAGAGGACTTCTGGAGTTTAACTTGGATTTCTTTGCAATTATTGTACGTAATTCGACGGGGCTGTCGATATAAAATTGAATGTTGGTATTTAGAAAAGTATTGTTTTACCGACGTCAAGTTCCTCGACGAGTTTCCCTTAACCTTAAGGGTGTTTTGTGGGGTAGTTTACGGGTCGGCGGTTCTCGTTACGTCTCTTTAATGGACACCGCCATGGTGTTAAGTGACGAATCGAAGATCCCCATAACAGCTCGAAGGATCGCGTTTCGTCCTCGTGTATGGAAATTGTCAGAGGCGTGTTGTGCCTAGGGACTTTTGGGGGAGACCGAGTCTGGGACATTAGTTACCAGGGATCTGCTTTCCGGGGGCGTTTCCGAGGAGCGTCGATTATTAATCCTCCTTTTAGCCCATATCTCACTTGGTTTGTTTTTTCTTCTGCCATGGCATTTATTGCCACTTCACCTTTAAATTTCCTAGATTTGGAAATTAGACTTTCGTGGTCGGGAAATTAGCCGTGGATTTTTCTTTATTTTTCGGGTGAGTCTAGGAACGTCCTTCTAATGGCGTTCTGTCGAATCATGAGAAAGGAAATTGTTCGAGCGTCCTTGAAAGTGGTTCACGTCACTAATTGAGACACGTGAGGTTTCTTAGAATCGTGAATACGTTTTCTAGAAGTCTTCCGGGCATTTCCGAATGACATCTTTCCCTCGATTTGTGCAATCTTCGAGGAACCACTTTCTAGAAGAAATGCCCTGGATACGTACCTAAAATCTGATAGTTTAGGCATCTACCCTTCAGGCCCCTTGGAGGTCTTTATTCGTTATATTTACTAATTTATTTATCATACTCCGCTCCAATATATCAAGCCCTTACCACTTCTGCGACATTTTATTTTCGCGGATTCTTTTTTTTTTTCTCAATGAAATTTAAGAATTTCATCCAGTGGCCTAAAAGAAATATACATGCTTTGAATCCGATTAAGGCTAGAAATCAAGAGAACTTTCCATCCGTAGAGGCACAAGTGAGCGGAGAAATCTGCATACCAATTTACGTCGTTATCACCAAGCCGAGGACTTATCTCGGTGACGGGTCAGTGACGAGCGGCCGACAATATATTCAGTTTTACAATTATAGATTCGCAATAAAGATTCGCAGTTTTGTTGCAGTCTCGCCTCCAAAGAGCTCGACGACTCCGGATCGAACAATGATGTTTAGGGGGAAACGTCAAAATCTTAGCCAAACGTTCCCTTTGTTCGCCGGAGAAGTTACGTATTACTTTGGGTGACAAATCTGTTCGGCTTCGTTTGTTCCGTTCTTCTCTCCATCGCTTCGTGTACGACGCCATTGCTCGTCTCTTTCCGTCCCCTCGTGAGGTTTTATTATAGATTAATTCCGACCTCGACAACCTCGGACGAGTCACCGACAATGGCACAAAAGCTGAGACGATATGAAAGGCGCCGTGATATTTAATCGAAATTTAATTTTAATAAAAAATTAATATTCAACCATGCCCTTTTTGGTGGGAACGTCATTTCGAGTATTTACCGACATTTATGTAATGATATAAATTCAAATGTCGGCAACGTAGGTATTTAGAGGAATATCTTTTATCGACGTCGATGAAGTTCCTCCACGTGTTTCAACTTCGCCTTGATACGACTTATTCCTCGACCTGACGTATAGATTTTCGCTGGAGGGAGGGCAAACACGATTCTCGATCCACCTGTATGTAGTCTCGGTTTACGTCTAAACGTACTACGATCGTCGGTCAATGAAACGTATCGACGCGACCCTGACCTAGGCAATGCGTAGGTATAATCAAGTTGTGTCTACACGCGATACGGGGTTAACGATAGGGATGTATCTAGTCGCGTTTACGATAATTTCGGTATTTCTGGTCGGCTTCCACCTAAGTATCTAATCGGATGCGATAGGAATGATGTCAGTTGTTCGTTTCTTCTGTGTTGGGGATGGATCGTACCATTCGCGAAGACTCTTTGCGGTGCATCGTGTGCGTTATTGCGACCGCTGATACCGGGCTTGATAAGCGAGAAAGACAAGTACCCATTGAGGTACACCCGTCCCTCAATTTACGCAGTGTACGGTCCACGTGGATGCGTTTTACGCGATTTCCATTCGCGTAAAGTCTGTAGGGAGGAAATAGTAAATGTCGGAAGTAAAAGCCTAGTACGTGTAAGTTTTAGAGATAAGACGTTTTTCTTTTGCTGTCCGGGTGCAACATTCATACAATTCGTTCGATATTGCATACGGATTAAATTCATTCGCCAAGGTTCATCTTCATCGCCTCTAAAGGTTTTCATGATTAGGCATGTCGAATGTTTTCTTTAATAAGAGGAATAATTTTTTGGTAAGTACTCGTTACGCAAAGTTCACTCGGATGGCGTTTTAATCCGAGCAAGTGTAAAAAGACATACGCAATCTGGCCCCCTCGGTTTATCGAGGTCGATCCTCAGTGGACCGGATCGAGTCTTCGAGTGATATGGAATTTTCGGACATCCGTGACCCGGACAATTCACCCCTTCCCCTCCCCTAATGGTGTCATCCTTGTGCTCTTAGGGGAAATCCATCGTTACTGTCAATTACGGAATTAAAAATGTAATAATTTATGCAAATGACCTCGGTCTCCCCTGCGCGCATCCCGATTCTTCACTTTTTCGAAGGCTTTCCCCGTGTGAAATTTCCTCTCAGGTTGAGCCGGGAGGAAAAAAAAGAAACTGGAGTACTCGGAGATGCGCCAGGGGATGGCAACGCTTCGGGATTGAAAGTCTTTAAGTGGTTTCTCGACGAGGAAGTCTGCAGTTGCACGTGGGGCCGGTCGGCCCGAGGCCGAGAAAGCCGAACGGGGCCTTTTAACATACCGCGGCCTCGAGGGTCTCGTTCGTGTGTTCGTAGTGTGTTCATCGGTGTTCACCGTGTGTTCACCGGGGAAATTTAACTTGGTACGCCGGCCAGACACCCTGGCGGGGATCCTCCCGGCACTTTGAGACCCGAGGGCACCGAGCTACGTGCATCATCCCAAGGACCGACCACGTGGCCGGGCCTAAATTAATTCGGTCTCTTGGAAAAAACGATCTCGAGGTCCCTCCTCCTTCGGGATGTCCCACGTTACCCGGAGAATTGTTAAGGACAGTGCGGGAAAATTATAACACACAATGTGATAAAATTATAAATTTAAATCCACGGCACTCCTGAGTGAGTACCCTATGGTCGCTCTCGAGATGACTTTTTCGATCTTTCATTCATGATCGCCTCCGTCCCCTTTCCTCGAGGTCCGTATCGAACGTAGCTTCGACGTCACAGGACCACCGGAGCTGCTCGGAAGTTTCGTGTTCGGCTTTGGGAATTGCACGTAGGTAGACGCAAGGCGGCTGTGGGTCCACGGGGTGCAGTTCATTGCATTGATAAGTGCACCGAGTGCACATTCCACCTTGGCCGTCTTTCTCTCCCGGCGTCGGAAAGACGCGGGAGCGCAACCTGAACCTACGTTGGGTTCGTCTCCACGTCAGCATCGTCATCTCCCAGGGCTTGCTTACATAATATCCGATTGCTTCCCAGTCCGATCTTGCGACGACTTCAATGACCCCTTCGGTCTTCCTTTCGTCGTAACGAGAGCCCTGCATCCTCTCGACGTGCCGGAATATCTCGTTACTTCGGTTAAACGATCGTAAAGGTATCGCGATTCTTGGACTCCATTGGTGTCTCGATGACAGAGCCATCACGTTAATTATTTTCTTATGGAAAATGTAATTTCGCGAGGGTCAGGACCTTCCTTATGGTCCTCGAGTTCACGTTGAGTTTCAAACAACCCAGTTTAGAGAAGAGTTTCATAAACGATTGAGCTTTCGGATGACACTTTCACATCCCCTTAAGAAAGGGTATGCCCCGAAAGTCGTCGTTGCAAGACCTGTATGCTTGATTCTTTTTATTATTGGAAATACATGGATTCATAAGTTCTCGCCACTTATTCGAGACCTTGCGTTGCCCCAGGCATACCTATTAATACCGAGGCCATTAAAAACGAATAAATGGTTCTTGTTGCCCTCGGCGACGCGACATGGTCGACCAGGAGGCCAAAGGAAAATTACCGAAAAATTAAAAAAAAATTAGGGATGGGGTAGTATTTTATATGCAACGAGCGATCCGAGTCATTTGCCATATATCGGTGCCGTCGAAACTAACTTGAACAAAGTTTCGATCCATTCTTTATTGGGTCTTTTCAGGGAATCTCTAGATAGAAATGTGTGACATCAGATGATAGACCTTAACTAAGTTAATATCCTAATTACGTCTTAACTAGCGCCCTTGCAGATTTTCTGCGGGAATTGTGACCTCTTTCCATGACTCTCGCTTTCCTGGATGTTGCAATTTCTTTCGGACACCGACGTAGGGGAAAATGTCCGTCGGTGTTGGGAAAAAAGAGGCCACAGATAACGCCGACGACGGAAACACACGCACGTCGTTCCGATCCGTTGTGTTTCATTGCATGCTCGCGCCTGCGCGTTGTGCTCGTCACGCGTAAGCACGCGCAGTGACCATCATTTCCTTAAACGCTACTCAGTAGACAAAGACTAAAGAAGGACTATAGATCCTAGGTTAGCGCTTAATGCTCTAAAAGTTGGCTAACAAACCAGAAGTGGAGGTAAAAGAGAGAACGCATGTGTTAGCAAACGATGTCTCACATAGGAGAGGAAGAGAGACGCACAGGGTGAAGTACGGATAGACGCCTTAGTTTTCATCGTATACTTCTAAATTAAAATTCATGTACATATCATGCCGTTGTCTTTTATCTTCCTTATAATCTTCAATTATTTGCCTAGGATCAATAATTGTTATAATGGAAGGGAAATATGAAAGGTCTCGATTTGGGCATCTATTCCCCTCTGGGGGGGCTGATGGCATGAAGGTTAACGCCATTTTGTATGATATATTATAATCGTAGGATAACGTTAGCTATCCCAAGGTATTTCTGTATTAACGTAAAGTGATGATAACGTTGACCAAGCATCGATACCAAAGTAAGCAGGTGCCTGAAATCCGAGATCGCACGGTCCCAGAATTCGAAAACCGATCTGAAAGTCCATCTCGAAGTACTAAATAAAATCCATTTCGAGGTACTAATCGCATGTTAACGTTTCGTTAGCTACACGGAGGTATTTCTAAATTAACGTACAGTGGTCAGACGTTGATTAGGCATCGGTACGAAAGCAAGCAGGTGCTCGGAATCGGAGATCGCACTGTCTCGGATTCTAGAGACCGATCTCAAGATCCACTTTGATGTGCCAAATCCCGCACCTCCTGGCGGTTCCTTGTCCTCGCACTCGTAGGCTCCTAGGGTGCACCTGCGAACTTAGAACCAGAGTCAATTAGACCCGTCGTTGAAAATCCGAAAAGGCAGCGAAAAATCACGATGCATCTCTGTAACGACACAGTGCGTACCATCGAGGCGGAGTACTTTACCGAGGGCAGAGAGTGCGTTAATTGCGGAGCTGTTTCCACCCCTTTGTGGCGACGAGACGGTACCGGACATTACCTCTGCAACGCCTGCGGTCTGTACAACAAGATGAATGGAATGAATCGTCCTCTTGGTAAACCTACACGGCGCCTGGTAAGCAAGGAGCGACCACACGGCCCTGGTCATGCGTTCCCGAGACGTCTTGAGATGTCGAGAGGCGCCGGAGATATGTCCATTGACGTTCCTGGACACGTTGTTCGGTAGGAGAGACTCGACTCGTTTGCCGATCAGACCCTCGAGAGCAGAGTGATAAGAGCACCCCTCAGGTCCTCACTGGATAGCTCCTTCCCCGCTAATGATGATTTCATCCGACGACACCTCGGATTAAGGGGATGCGATAGTGGCATGCGAAAGGGTAATCCTTCATGAAACTTCTCTACCAAGTGGATGTACCGAGTCCTTTCAAACTTTACAATTTGAATGAACATGAAATTTAATTTCCAAAGTCAAGCTTGAAACGATTCGGTACCCCTCGGTAGGGGGGAGTTTCATAAACGAGACCTCTTCCCGGCACTTTCGTATCACCTTAACCCCTTGACACGTCGTTTGGTTATCCCTGTGACCGTGATAGTGAACGAGTACCCTAAACGGTCTGCTCGAGAGTATTTTGTTCATGAACGAGGGAGCGAACAACGGGTCCGGTGACCGGCGATCTCGACTATCTCAGGATCGCAGGATCGTCGGCTGATAGAGTGATAAGGCGGAATGATCCATGACCATATATATCTGCCCCCCCAAGGTGCGACCAGGAGCCTCTGTGGAAATTCGCCCGTGGTGCTCGGTCCTTTCTGCTCCCGATCCTGATCCTAACCCTGACCCTGGTCAAGACGTACCCCCAGGAGACGGGTCGTCGCGACCCGTCGAATCCTTAGATCGGTAATCGTCCGTACAAGATTCTCTCTGTCACGTGGATGCGTCCCTAACGTTTGGCCTCCTGTCTGTTTCAGTGGCGGACCAGGGCGAATTGTACAAAAACTTCTATGGGTATAGTGGTCCTCCTCGCGCCCCCGAGGAGAAATCGAGCCGCCGTTTGGTAGGTGTCAATTCCCGCCCGGTCTCTCTGTTCATATCTTCTCTTAATCTCGTCCGATCAGATCCCGGCGACCTCCTGACATGTCTTCGAAACCGCGGAACCTCCACTGCTCGGAGAAAAATGCAATGGATACGCGATTTGCGCCGATCGTCCATGGGGGTGGCCACGTGCGCGTGCGCGAGCACGCGCACGCGGTTTGCTTTACCGACTCCAGTCAAAGCGATAAGAAATATGGTATCTGGGTCGGAAATGCGATTGTTAGGAGGCGCATCGTTTAACTTCGAATTTACGTTTCCCACGAATAGATTGCGCCGATTTTTTTTCGCCGCATCCTCGAGTCGATGTCTTTAGTCCTGCTTTGAACCCGCGGAATATCAGTAGATCCTCTCTTGGTCCTGTCTATGATAAGAAACTTTGATATGCACGTAAGGAAAAGGGAAAATATTTATATAACTTTTCTCCAAACTGGGTGTTCCGAATTATCTGAAACTTTGACACGTGATTATGGAGGCCCTAAGGATTGACGCGCTGCTCGTGAGATTTCTTTAAAAAAAAAAAAATTGTTGCACTTATCTCGGAGAAGAAACAAAAAAGATATTTCTCTCTAGGAAAATTAAATCTCACCAGCATCGCGTTCTTTCTTAGGGCCTGCTTAATCACGTGTTCTTTTGTCATCTCAAAACTCATTTGAAGGTCTACAAGTGGAGGGTCTAAGTAGGATAAAAATCTCGACTCGTGTTATCAGAAATGCAAAACCAGCCAGGACATTTTTCTCTATAACGAGCGATTCTCCTTATCCATCTCTTGTCCGTTTGGAGGGAACGGATCAAGGAAAGAGACGATACAGTATTCCGGCTTCACGGTGAAATTTGGAAAATCATCCTTTAATGGGTCTCACTTTCGGTATTTCGTCCATTGCCGTGTAGAAACAGGTCCTGTTGCCGAAATCAATGACGAAGATTCGATTGCACCATCGGAAGATTGGCCGAAACTGTTCCGAAGATTATTGAAACGAACGTATTAAAACGGTATCGTGGTTACCGACCTTCGTTATCAGGCTCGAAACTGATTAAACTTGACTTTAACCTTGGGGAGATGTTACAAAAGTTTATTTTAGAGAATTTATCCATCTTGTTTACGTTTATTCAGTTCCTTTCTTTTTTAATTCTTCAGTCGAAGGTCCGCTCTTCATTGATAGCCACATCCGTGGAGTGTATTCTTATCAGTTTTTCATTCTCAAGACGAGTATAATTTATAATATTTTCGGATTTCACGGATAAAAGTAATGCAACGACATGTCGGATTTCGTTAAAGTTAATGTCGCTCTTTTTTTTTATGGCTTGAGCTTTTTTTCGTTACAAAGTCGTTTCAATAGAATCTACTTTTTTTACGTCGTGTCTCTCCTTGATATGGACTCCGTAAACCTTCCGTTCATCTACATTGTTTGCTTTTCACCCTTGTTTATATGTTGTATTTATGTATCCTCGGAATCTTTTACGTATCCTCTCTCCTTTTCCCCAAAAAGTCTGTTAACCTCTTCGTATAGCTATCTGCATTTATTTCCAATTCCTATCATACATTCCTGCGAAATTAAGGCGATATGAATTCAATATATCAAACGTCAAGATATTGTCAAAACTTGTCTCCAAACCGGGTGCACTGAATTTGGAGGAAAAGTTTTATCAATATTCTGACTTTTTGGTATATATATGTATCACACTTTCATATCGCCTTAATCGCGTCCGAATGAAGGAAATTTCGAAGTGTCGGCGAAAATTGTCGGATTATTAAGTAAAATTCATTTCATCCAGAAATTAGGTGCAGTAATGATGAATTTCCACGAGGAGGCATGCAAACGGGCCACCGAATATTGTAACCAGATTCTCACGTTTCACAATTTCGATGACTATTTTCGAGTACTCTCTCTTATTTTTTTTTTTTTCTTCTTTTTCTGACTTCCTCCCACATCTTCCAAGTCCATCTTTTTGCGTGATCGACTCCTCTGTCTGTCTCGTAGCTTGAGGTGCCACTATACCCATGGTAACCGCTCTCCTTTCCGATTTCACGCAAAGCCTCGTTGCTCGTCCATAAGGGGAGAACGAGCGCGACATATCCCCAGAAATTCGTAATGAAAGTGTCTTCTTGAAGGATTTTTTTCCAGGCTTGAGCGTGACATTGCAAAGGTGGCGGCGCCTACCCCGAAATCGCCGGTGGTAACTTGCACAGAAAGTTCCAGGGAAATCGGTGATGGATTGGTGATTGGTGATTGGTGGATTGGTGGTGGCTCTGCTACCACCTGGTTCCCATCCGCTCGACCGAAACTATCAGGTGTTACTGCCGGTGTTTCCACATTTTCTCGAAAATCTGTGCAAGGGACTTTCGGACGAGACTTTGGGCGAAATTTAGCGATAGGCTCCCCTTCCCAACACCTAAGTTTCTTCTACCGGTGCTTTCCCTTTGTGTGAATCTTCTTTACGCGAGACGGTGATACCAGGAGGTCGATTCTGTAACTCGGATCCGGGGAACATTCCCTATGGATATGTGAGATACTTCGCGTGAGACTACTCGGTCTGAAACCACGAAATCAAGGACCGAGTTCCTTCCGGCAGAGATGAGATGTTTCGCGCCATGGTTTCACCTCACTTTTACACCTCGGGAAAAATCGGAACTACTTTTAAAGAGGCGAAATCTTCGTGATCGGTAAAACAGGGTATACGTGGGTGCCGCGTCGTAATCTCGATCATCCACGCATTACAACTTTATTTCGTATTTCTAGTCTTCTTTCCCAACAAATCTGCGGACTGGATTTTCTTTACCGATAAAGAACATTTCCATTTGGAGAACTGGACGAATAAACTCACGTGAGATGATAGGGCGAGAAGCGAGCACTCTAGCCGATGTTACAGAATCGACTCCCAAATGGCGTTTTCGTTGCAGTCGACGAAGAAAGAGGTTTCTTTTCCCGGATAATTTCGGTATTCGTGGCTGGTTCCGGGAGGCACTTTTTACTTCCTGGTATCACGTTTTACGTGCCTACAAATGTCCTTTTCCGTGACCATCCATTATTCCGTAGCTTACGTCGAGCTCGAACGTGGTCTTCTACACCGAGAGAAAAATTCACTGCTCGAGCAGATCTACTTTTCTAAACGTTAAAAAGAAACCTCTAATTAAGGTGCTATAAAAGGGTCACTCTATATAAAATATTTTATTACATAGTTTTAGTAGCTATAAGTTAAAGTTTATGTCAAGAATTATATATAATATTTTATTATATAGTTTTACAAAAAATATTTATTTAACTTTTCTCCAAACTGGGTGCACCGAATCATTTGCAACGTTAACCCGTGATTATAAAAGCCCCAAGGAAGAACGTATGCTCGTGAAATTTCATTGCGAAAAGTGAAATATAATCCCGGGTTAAGATTTCAAATTATTCGGTACACCCAGTTTGGATAAAAGTTTTATCTTTTTGACATTTAATGTGTATAGAATGACCCTTACATATCACCAGTGTTCCAGTAGGGTGAATATTTCTCTCGGAAAGAAGAGGCACGTCTAGGGCTCGGACAGGGTAAATCGATAAATTGAAATAATTCCTCTCTATAATAATGATCGTTTTTTCCACAGTCCGCGTCGAGACGCGCCGGTCTCTCGTGCAGTAATTGTCAAACAACGGCGACGTCTTTATGGCGCCGCAATTCCGGGGGCGATGCGGTTTGCAACGCATGCGGACTCTACTTCAAACTTCACGGGATTAACAGGCCTTTGACAATGAAGAAGGACAGCATCCAGACTCGTAAGAGAAAGCCGAAGGGTGGGATGAAGTCCTCCGACACGCCGATACTCCGTGGAGTAGCTAATGGTACCTTTAACAACAACAATAACAACAACAGCAGCACCAACAATAACAATAACAACAACAGCCTTAAGTTTGAACCCGGCAGGTTGGGATGACAAATTATTGAGAGTGAAGAAAAGTCTAATCTTAAGGTGATATGAAAGAGTGTATATATATATATATGTATGTATATATATCTGAGAAGTCAAATCGTTGAGGAAAGTATTCTCCGAATTGAGTGTGCCGATTAGTTTGAAATTCTCCCACGTGAATGTGGGGGCCCTAAGGTAGGTCCTAAAACTCATGATATTTCATTTTACAGAGGAAGTTTATTTGGGGAATGTTACAGAGTCAGATGGGAATATATGGAAAATACTTTCGACAACGATTGCAAGAGGTTGCCGGCTTGTCTCGGGGTTAACATGGGTTTTTAGAGCAAGCATTTCTCTCAGCGTCTTTCATATCATCTTAAAACCACGGAAGTAGTATGAGGACATACAACGCCATGGATTGGAATCGTCCTCACTTCAGGGGTCCGAGAACTTTAGATCTTTTCCGCTCTTGTACCGAGAGCACCTCGATAAAATGTTGCAATTAAGAATTATCGTCGGCTAGTCTTTGTCGCGATAATTTGATAAATTGGTCTGAAATTCCCAGGGGAATATTCTCAAGACTTCGAACTTTCCACTAGCCTCCATATTCACGTAGTAAAGTTTGGAACGATTCGGTGCACCAGTTCCGTGAACGACCAACCCCTCGGATGGCTCTTAAATATTCGTTTAGATCAATTAAGGAATCACCGTCACAATCTTTTTCCCCGATTTTCTGCTCCGCGACACGCACTACATCCGACGCTTTGACTTTGCAGATAACTATGGGGACCCCAGAACGACTCACAACGCTCTTCCCCAAGTGACTTACGCCAGCACCCTCTACGGGAACTCACAACCGACCCTCTACGGCAACTCCCAGGCGCTCTACTACGACATGATCACTTCCCAGAAGCTGCCGCAACAGCAAGACCAGCAACAGCAACACCAACAACAGCTCATCGAGGGTCATTCCCCAAAAGTGGAGTGTCCTTCCCCACCCGGGGCCACCGGGTCCCCGGTTCTCGTGTCGGCTTGTCACTCGCCGGACAACCATCAGCTGACCCCGTCGCATATCGTCACCCTGGGAAATTCCTCGCCCAATTCGACCTGCAGTAAAATAATGCTGGACAATGGCCACCTAGAGAGACCCACGGTGGTCTCGATATCCTCGTAGGAAGTCCGCAAACCTCGAAACGACATTTACCGATCGCTGTGCAAATGTCTTTGCGCTACTCGACTTCAGCTGATGATGACGAACTACTCAGGTGGAAATCAGTGAAAACGATTCCCTTCTTTGAAAGCGACTTGCCTTTGATTTCATATGATAAGCAACAATGCGATTCGATAACAAGTGACGTCCGGTCTTAACCCTTTAATTTAGAGACGCCACTATAGTGGCTTCCGCATGAGCGACGTTTTTTTATGAAACGCCACTATGGTGGCATCCGCATGACCGACGTCACACCTTTGACATGTAACACGTATCTCGATGCTGTAAATAATATTTCTTTTCGGAAGTTTTAGTAGCATGCGCGTACCGTATGGTACTGGGCTAATTTTGTAAATACTTCTCATAGACTAATGTAAATTTGGAGTTAAGTTTCCTTTTTAGTAAGTTTATCTACTTACCAGTACCATGTCTTTATAGACTTTACTATTTTATATCGTTATTTAGGGCAAATCTCTAGACGTAAACTCGGCGCACTGTTTTAATAAATTGGTTATGATCTATATTCCCGTTTAATATCATGGGTGACCCCGTAAAAATTACAGTGAAATGGCGTTTACATAAGTAAGAGGACTATTGTTGTTGATTATTATTTTTATTGGACAGAAATAAATAGACATGTTTTACCGACTGGATAAAAGGCATTACATTATTGTGATTGTATCCTACTTCCCATCCATGGTTGAGGGGTAATTTGATCCTTAATTTTATTAATAATAATTATTGAGATTCGCCTGCGGATGATGGAATGAATTATCAGGTGAGTATAAAGGGTGAATAAGGAAATCGAAGTAAAACTCCAGAAACCCTCTGGATTCATGGTTTCCGAGGCTCCAATTGACTGCAGAGAGACACCTTGCGCCATCTGTGATTTCCACGTCAACTAAATTTTCCCTCCAAGACCTCGTATTACCATCGTTTTAGCGTAGCAGGGCATATGACACTTTTTTCCCTTTATCCCGTTGAAATTCGAGTTTCTCGATTACCAGAGTGTTCCAAATTGTCGTCAAATTGTTCGAGTCGACTCATTTGACGGTTCCACTTCGCCTTAAGGATTTTATATACGGATACCTTCTTTCCTTCGTTTATGTAGACATTTTGAGGAACGTTTGTAAGCACCATACCCCTTGGTCATAAACCAGGCAATGATGCAAGTTGGTAATCTCAGGGCGATGCCATACCTTGCCGCTTATCAGTCGTGATCCCGTGTATGCTCTGTAGCTATGGAAACAACCCTTGATAAGAGATCATGCACCGAGCACTGTACTACTGGCGATTGTAAACTGTGCCTTCAAAACTTTTATGTACGTATGAAAGATACAATAATAACATATATGTATCCTTTATGTACATATAATATAAAACATTGACGCGAAATATCCGTTGCACATGGATTCGTTTCACGTGAACGAAAATCCCGCGAATCGAGTAAGTACGGAAGAAAAAAATATATATATTAGAAATAAAGCTAGTACACATGTTTTATTTGAAATAGCTTAGGGAAGAAAAATAATGAACATAAATGACCACGTAAATTGTGGTATAATTTGTAAAACAATAGACTTGGGTAAAATAAAATAGTGACGCGTTAATGGAGGGAGGGATGAAGGTAGAAATTATTTATTGTATATATATTAGTATATATATATATATATTATTTGTCAACCGGCCGGAATGTTATTATAAATGTATCGGCTGCGGATAAATCAGAGTCGGCGGAAGTGGGACCAAGATGGCCGCCGCTCGTTCTCCAGCAATCGTCGGTGTCGTCGGTCAATATTTGAGGCTGCGTGCTCTGACATCGTCGAGTCGTTTCCACGAGTCGCTACCAGGCGGCAGCGTCGTCGTTCACACCTTGGGCACACCTGTGTCAAGCGCACGCACCGGGAACACACGCACCGTGGCCCGTTTCCGAAATAGTGAATTCGACCAGCATCCTCGCCGCTGATTTTCCTCCGCAGCGATAGGTAAGTCCGATTTTTGATCAGCTACCGATCACCGATCGGGATTTATCGATGGACTATATCAGGGCCTCTCGATATCCGCCCTTTATCCTTATCCGAGCTCGTAAAGTCCGCGTGGAGGCCCCTTGGGACTACTTTCGGGGCCCACACGTGCGTCTGCGACACGAATTCGGCTGTGGCGAGAGGTTAGGTTCCTTTATTATTCCATATTAGGTCGACTCCACTTGCTCCGAGTCGACGACGCTTCCTCGCTCCTAATTCTCATCCGAGTTCTTCAATATCATTTCTTTCAAGAACGCGGACACTTGGCACATTGCAGATCTGTTTTTTACCGCCCCTTCATCTAATCACTTGTTTGTTCTTACTGGGACACGATTCTCGAGTTCGTACGGATTTTTTACGCATTTGAAAAATGTTGCATGGCACTGGAAATCCAAAGGCAGTTCTTTCGATTCTTTCCTCGGTTTGGCGCAAACGTTGCTTACTTCCACGACGTCCGACGCGAAACTATCCGTCGCCGAGAAGAGATACCCCGATGCAGATAATGTGTTATTAATCATTGAGCACATATCCCCTGTACATATAAAATAATGAAAATAATATCAGGCAATGGCGATAATGCCGCGAGCCCGTACATAACCGATCTATGTATCGGCCCCCAGGAGATATGATTTTCCCGTCTAGTCGAGTCGTCTAGTAAAATATGTCTAATTAAAACAAATCCATAGTGATAGTGCAAGGATAGTAAATAGAAAGTAACAGCATGTGTCCAGGGGACGCATTAAATCTTTTCTTGCGGAATCGAGGAAAGATAACAAATCAGTCGTATATTTATTTACTCGAAACTCCGTGGAGATCGCGTGGATTTAAAAACGCGGATAGGATGAATCAGCGGTACGTAGGGAATAAAACGGCAATTTAATACGGCCTATTCTCTTCTCTTTGCCTCTGCACGACCATCTCCATTCGTGCAATTTGCACAAGGTTTTGCGAACCCTCTTCGCCGTTAACTGCCTCGCCAAGGACGTCGTATATCTGACGAAAATAAAGAGCAACGTTTGTTTGCTCGAAGCTACGAGGCCTTAATCGTACCGCCGCTAGAACGCGCGGAAATGTCGTAAATTTCGCTAATTACACCTCTCCGTGTTCTGGAAATGTTATAAACGAACGTTCGCCGCCTCGGGATTTCCTTCGACGCCATTTTGGTGAACCGCCGCGACTGCACGTGAACCACGCGTCATTACGAGTAAAGATCAAGAATTAAGGTGAAACGAAACATGTCGAGGAACTTCATCCACATCGGTAAAAAAGATTCCACTAAATACCTGCGCTGCCGACGTTGGTTTTTATATCGACAGCTGTGCCGAATTATATTCGGTGTATTGTACCAAATTCCCGCGTTATTCCTTAAGACTTCCATAATCACGTGTTAAGGTCTTATAAATATCTTCACTTTTCGTTATGTATATATATATGTCAGACTTTCGTATCACCTTAAGGCTGTTATTTCTCTCCGGGAAGAGGAGTCTTCGGTGCGGCACCGAGTCATTGCGCAACGAGCCTCTCCTGACATAGCGAAACATATCCACCTGTTTTATTCCCAGAACGCGAGTGGCTGGAATTAGTGGCGGTACGTAAAAGGCGTGAATTTTGCTCTCATTTTTTCTAAAAAGGTCGCTTTACGCCGAGGAAGGGGGATCGTTGCGCAATTGACTTCTCCGAAGCTCGTCTTTGGACTCTCTCGTGTTGTACGCCATTTACGATGTCTACCAGAGCTATTATATTGTTTGTATGCGCCAAGAAATAATTGGATATTTCTAGGTCAATAGAGGATATATAATTTTCATGTATATCATATTTCATATATATAAATATCGTTTAGATACTTTTTTATCGGCCGATCGAGTGGTTGGCGGTCGCACCTGCAAGAAGGAAAACCTTTTCACGCGAATCCCTCGATATCGCTACGTGACGATCGATACGAAATCCCAGAGTGCTCGCGACGGCCGATAAAGCGATCACTCGCCGATAAAACGCGAGTCCGTCGATGATGCAAGCCTCTTCAGTACATGTCCTTCCAAAGTCTCCTTTGTCTTTTCCACACAGATCGGAGACACGAGGTTTGTTCGCGTTCTCTGCACTTTCTGCCCCCGAGGATAACGAGGGTACTGCATTTTTCTCGACAGGTGCAGAAGGGTAGATACACGCAAAACGAACGTGGTTTCAATTGATTCGTTGCACCCAGTTTAGGAGAAAAGTTTCATAAATATATTGCACGTTTCATACTTTACACTTTATGCTTTCACATCGGCTTAATTTCATCGTAAGATCATTTATTTTTTTTTTTACGTCACTTCGTGTACAATACACACCGCATGAAACGATTGTTCGATCCGCGCCTTTGAATACGTCCTCTGTAGATTATTTATCACATTTTTTTTAAGTCCTTTGAAAATTTATAAGGAGGAATTACGTGCAACAAGGGGAACTCCGGTTTCGTAGTTGACGTCCGATTCGTTTCCGGCACCCAGGGGTTGTGGAAATATTCAGAAGCGCGAATAATTTGCTGAATCTTGAGATCCAGGTCGACGTGTAACGCTCCTAGTGGACTTTGACGGGTTTTGAAAATTTCCAAGGAGTCAAATTTCAAGGATCGAGCACTCCAAAATGTAGAATCCGTAGCCGGACAAGTACGCGCCGCGAGAACAACCCTACGCGCTCCTGTCTGCCCCGACGACTGAAATTATCATTTTAGCTGATATACTAGCTAATGTAATGATGCAGTTTTATCTCTTATTATCATGGGAAAGGAGATAAATCGCGATAGTGTGGTTTATTTTGACAACGTTCTCTCTCTGTCTCCATCGGAGCGCTCCCTATCGTGCCGTATCAGCCCTCCTATCTCAGCAACTGCAATCCTTCGAGCTCTTCCGGGTCTCTGAACCCGGAATGCCTTTCTGCCATTCGTGGATAATCTCAGGTGTCATCCCGTTTCACGCGATAAGGCTTGTGGACCCAACGAGATGACGATTCGACCCCCTTTTGCTTGCTTTTCTCGATTTTCTCGCTTTTTTTTTTCTCTCTTTTCACCCCGAACTTTAGGAATTTATTTTCGGAACCGAATAGGGGATGGAACCCCACACGAAACTATAGGCACTATATCCGTATATTAGACGTATACGGGATATCCATTAATATCCTATCTATATCATGCATATGGCTATACTGAAGATAGATATCTATTTTACATATACGTATACAGAAGGAGTTTCTTTCGTTTAATTCGCTTAATCCGTTGTTGATCCGCATCTTTATTTTCGTCCTTATTTGTAATGTAATATCCCGATTTCTTCGTTCTTTGGACATTTCGCAACGCGTCTGTACATACCGAGGGATTGAAATGACGAATTGTATGGCTTTTCTTGGAAGGATGCAATTCTTATCGCAGATTTGGCGACCGATCAAACGATATGTCTTCTCTCATATATTTTGATCTGACTACTATCGGATCGAACTTATGAAACTTCGATCATTATCTGCGAAGACGTACGTTGTCTCAAATCCACCTGTCCAGAGGTGCGATAGACACTTCGTTTCTTAATTTCTTTTCCAATAATATGGGACTTTATAATCTTAACAGCCGTATAAGATCTGCAGAAATATTCACTCGCAAGGCGATCTCATTGTCGGGCTAATTGTCTAAAGTCAAAATCCACCCTGAAACGCCATTGGCCACAAAGGTGCGAGATTCGCCCGTTGGTCGCTGACGCACCCTTCTGTCAAAATGGCCGGTGACTCAGACTGTTGTTGCTCGTATCCAGTGAATAGCATTTGTCCCCTGTGGGTGCAAGTTGTTTGCAGTCCCGGTCGCACCCAATAAAATCGATGATTCACCAACCCCCGAGTCCATCCTAACCGGTGGAGGCCATTGCGGACCCAAAATGGCGGATGCAATGGCCGTCGCCCTAAGAGCCGTGGACACGGCGTTATCTCCTGGAAGCCGGCGAGTTCTTATCAACGAGCAAACAACGGACCCCAACGTGGGTTTAGTGTCAATCAAGCGCGACGCTTCAACATTTTCTTCATTTTTCCTCCCTCGTAGGCCTCTTCCGGTTTTCACTCGAAAATCGGAGCTTTCCCCGCGGTCCTCCGGATAGATTTGTTCGAAAAATGATTCATCGTTTGCTTCACGGAAAAGTCCCACCGTTCCTTGGGTGTGAAAATGGAAATAGTAATGTCAAACACGGAGCATCGACATTGCAGAAAAATTCCTTAATTTTTCTGATAAAAATATGATTTTATGACATACTGTTTGAATTTTTTAAACGACTTAATTTTACTGGGTAGGGACAGTCTTGGTTTAGCCGTATTAATTGTTTAGGCGATGATTCCTCTTCTCGCCGATCCTTGGAAAGGTCGCCCATGTCCCTCTGATTACTTTATTTTTTTTTTCTTTTTATGAATATTTCATTGAGTGGTCAAGGGTTAATGTTCGTAAGGGAGGGTCTCAGGGGGTGACTCGACCAGGTCGGAGGTAACAGGGGTGAGTTCGACCAGGTCGCGACAGGTAGGTCCAGGTAGGCCGGACCAATCAGCTGCGAGGGGCCGGCTCTTCCGGTTCCATTGGTCGCTCCTGGTCCGTCTCTTTCCTCCTCCGCTCCTCCGGGTCGACTCAGGTACCCCTCGGGTACTGGATGGGTACTGGATGGGTACGGACAGGTACGTCACGGTAGCGGGGGCTCGCCTGCCCATCCTTCCTCCTCCACCTGCCGTCTCCTCCTCGCCGCGTATCGGGACGAGTCGGCTCAGTTCTTGGCCGATCCCCGCGAGCTGCGCATCTTCGGCATTATCTCTTCGCGGGTCTTCTCACCTTTGCAGGCCGCAAAGATTTTTTCTAGAGGTGCAACCTGCTCCCCAGGGGCACCGCACTCGTTCCCCGAGTCTGGCATCCTGTGTCCACCGGGATCATCCGGCCAGGAAGGAGACCTCCCTTCGCGGATTCACGCTTCCGGCTTTTCTACGCACTTTCCCTTCGCTCGCTCAAATGAGGCACGCGGCGACAGAGGTAATTCTTTCTATTATATTCTTCCCACATATGCGGTTTATACCGTGGAGGGAATTTCTTTACGTAGGGTGTAATTCGTGAAGAAGGTTCGGAGATGCGGGGGAATTTTATTCCGGCTTGGCGGAATTTTTTTTTTCAACGTGTAGGACAAAATCGTCCTAGAACGTGCCCGGAGCATATGTCGAATTTATTTGTCCGTAGAAAAACCATTTAAAATCAACTACCGATCGACACAAATCTATAACATATATTATAAATATATTACACATACGTACTAAATTTCTAATACATGTTATACATTTAATTTGAAAATACGACATAAAATTAGTATACCATGTCTGAGTAAAAGTTCCAAGAAAAATGTTATAAAATTATCATATATATTTTTTTAACAGTGTGATGTTCTCGGAGTCCTTGTTTCAATTCCATTTTCCTGAAAGAATCGATTCCGTCTTCCTGCTCTCCTCGACTCGGGAAGTCCCGACCAAAGAAATGGTCCGAATACGTGGAGCTCTCCGCTCCTCCGGCGGAAGTCGAAACTTGACATTGTCGGGCGGAAGTGACGAGGCCAGTTTAAACAGTCTGTACATTTTTCTGGAGACGGACGAGGTGTGTCCCTCGGATGTGTTTGAGTCGCGTGCCCGAGGGCCGATGAGCACGAGCGACCCGATGACTAATGTCGCCGATGTCGGTTTTGCCATCTCTGGCCAGGTCGACCGCGGCGCCGCCTCTCGGGCCAAGGCGAAAGCAAACGTCTTTCACCGGCTCGTCGCCGACCTAGACACGAATTCTCCCTTATCCGCTCGAAATCTCGACAACTGTCCCACTGTTCCTGATTTTTCGCCAGTTTTATCGCGAAGCCGATAACTCGGTCGCGTCCATTTCGGTGGTAGAACGACCGGACGGGGAATTACCGCGCATGACTCGGTACCTAAGTGAACCATAAACTTTGTTGCGATAACGCGATCCATTTATATTGTTAGTCGTCGCGAAGGGCGACTCGATACGAACGGTATGAAATAATGGTCAATTGACTGATTACGGACAGTTTCGGTGCTACGATTACATGTTTAATTGTCTCATTACCGTTGGGAGTGGAAAACATTAAGGTCAAAATATTAATAAAACTTGTTAGAGTTATATCATGTTACATCGTGTTACAGTGCAGGACATCGTACCATTCGCAAGACAAGATGAAGGAATCGCTGGTGAAGCAAGAAATCAAGATCGAGTGGGAAAGTCGCCGATCGGATGGAGGTTCGCCACGGATAGCCCGAGCATCCGAGGACCAGATAAGCGGGAGTCCTCCGAGTGTGATAACAACGAGAAGACACGTCCGTACGATAACGACAACGGGGCAGATCACGGAAACGGTGGTGGAAACAGAGGCCGAATCGCCGGCATCGAGCCCAAGTGGATCCAACATACAGCAAGTGATCCAACAACGGTCAGGGCAGGACCAGCAACAGCAGTCCGAGTCTCAGCACTATCAGGAAGGAGCACACCAGCAATACGTGCAGCTGTCTCAGCCCGAAAGCCCGAGCGAGCAGCACCGCGTTGTCGTAGGTCAACAGCACGTAATCTACACCAGCAGCAACGGGCAAGCTGTTCAGCAGGTGCAAGATGCCCTGGAAGCTGCCGAAACAGCGATTATCCTATCAGCCAAAGAACCCCCTGCATACGTTTCCCAGGAGTCCAGGAAAAGAGGGGTGGAGTGGCTCTCCCCTTGCACGTCTCCCAGACCGAAATTGTCCCGCAGGTACGAGACTTTCGTCGCTGAGAAGGTCTCAGAAGTCGAGCATCCGGTATACGTCTACGCCGAGGAACCAGAATCCAAACGCGAAGGCCACGTAATCGCCGTTCAGGTCCAGGAGCATCGGTCGGGCCAACATCAAACGCAACAACAGGCTCAACAACAAGCCGAGGCCCAGCAGCAGAGGTTCAGTCCCAGGGAGACCAGCAATGGCAACAGATTTCAGGAGTCCCCTGTTGCTCCCGCTGAGGATTACGAGACCTCTTCCCTGGTTTCCCAACCTGGGACCGTCCAGCTTGGCTCTCCAGCAGCTCCCTATTCTCCACCTTTGGATGGAATCCGCACCTCTCAGCAGCAACTCGTTGCTGCGGTGTATTCCGATGCTGCCGCTGCTGCTGCTGCTGCCGCTGCAGCTGCTGCTGCTACTCTTAAATATGACGCCGAGGCTGCTGCTGCTGCTGAGACTATCAAGGGGTCCAGCACTTATCACACTTTGGAGACTGTTGCTCTTCCGCCCTCGCAGACTGTGCAGTACACTCAGCATATTTCCGGCTCTGATGCTTTCTCCCAGACTCCCACCAGCTACGCTTATTCAAAGCCGGGGGATTTTTATCTCACTTATCCTGCTACCGTTCAGGCTGGGTCCAGGGGGACTGAGGTGAGAAGTTTTGCTGTTTTTTTTTTGGCTAAGTCGATAGAGACAATGGATTGTTTCCTAATCATCTAATGCAAATCTGATCAGATTTCAACGTTTGGTCTCACTTTTCAGGTGGACCCTCCTAACAGCGTGTACATCAAAAGTGACCCAACTTTGACCTCCTCGTCACTTTTGGCCACCCCACGTCCCACCCTACACTACGAGCAGCCCAATTCACCTGGGTCCCAGGTGACAATTTATGGCAGCGCCGCAGGCTCTTATCAGTACGTCAAATCGTCGGGTGACCAATATTGGCCCACCGGGGCACCTTCTCCACCTTCCACCTTGGAATACGTCCCGGGGTATTCCGGTGTCACCGCAATTTCTGCCAGCGACGCTGCCAACATGCAACTATACTCTGGAGGTGGATACAGCGTTACCGGAAACGGAAATGGTCCACCTTCGCCCTGGCCAACCTTGCCCATCCCTGGAGCCGATGACACCTTCGAGGGCCAGGTCATTGCCACGGAGCCGAAGGAGTGTGTCAACTGTGCTGCCAACATGACACCTCTCTGGAGAAGAGATGGCACCGGGCATTACCTTTGCAATGCATGCGGACTCTACAGCAAAATGAACGGTGTCAACAGGCCGCCTATGAGATGTGGAAAACCTAAACAATCGGTCGCACCGGTAAGTTTATGCGTTAATAACCGTCTAAAAAGAACGGTAGGGTGGAGCAATACAATGTTGCTCTGTCAATGTCTGCCGGCTGAAACTAACGACCGATAGAGGATTTGCGGTCTCGGTTTTTGAAGTTCGGTAGATCGAAGTCTATTGACCAACGTCGACCTCGACGAGGGAAGTCTCGTACGAGCATTGGTCCGAAAATGTGTGACCATCGAGAAAACGAGGCCGTTATTATTTGTGCTGATAACGTTCTGGATGGTCGGCGGATGGCCGCGCACACAGACACGACTTCGATATTAAGTAATATTTGTGCTCTCCATAAGTGAGAAGAAGACCGTTATCGTCGTGCAGAGCAAATAATAACTCCAGGACACGACGGGTGTTGTTTGCTCTGGTTTCCTCGGCGGAGCACTCCCATTTTCGTGATCTCGACGTCAGATTTACCCTCGAGACGATTCCTTCCGTTGACCCTAGGTTTAGAAACAGGATCCAAGTTCCTTGATAAGGCCCATATATCACGGTTCGGCCGAGTTTAAATTTTTAACACCCTCGGAAGTGAAGTCTGTCGATATTTCATTTCCACTAGTTGGCCATGATGGGAGATTCCAGGGATTTGTTTATCATTTTTTCAGGCTGGCGGACGGAGAACTGGTGTACAATGCGCCAATTGTAGAACAAGTAACACAACGTTGTGGCGTAGAAACAATAACGGCGAACCTGTGTGCAATGCTTGTGGACTTTACTTCAAGCTACACAATGTAAGTTCCTTTAAACTATTTTTCTCCGTACTCTGATGAGCTAAAAGTCCGCAGGGCTTAAAGATAATTTCACATTATCTCGATTATTATAGGTTGAAGAGAAGAAAGCTTCATATAAAAGTTGTAGCTTTTGAAAAAGCACTGCTTTTATGTCGTGAACATTTCTTTCTAAAACCATTGTTTTTCGATAAAAATGGGATAATTTAATGAAATGCAAGACCAGTTCGTATAACTACTCTATTACAATGGCTCTATTATTAATAATTAAATCGGGAAATATATCTGATACATTCCTATACTATTAAAATATAATTACTAGGAATATATGATTTAATAAAACGTTGTTACTACGGGTATGTATATAATCGTCAATGCAGATGTGCACGTAGATAATCAACGTAACGCGATTGCAGTCTGGGCGCAGGGGCTGAATGAACTCGCGGGGGGTATTTCGTGATTGCAGTTATCCATAGATAACTTTCGGCCCCAGACTGTCTGCAGTATCTTCGATCCGGAACTATCGCGGAGAATGCCAGCTGGATAAATAAAAAAAAGTCGATCAGAAGCAGACGCACCTACCGATTTGGTATCGTTTAACGTCGCTCTTCCGAAATTCCCATACAATTTGTCGACACTTATCTTTCCCAAATTTTGCGCTGATTTCTTCTTACGAGTTTTGAGAGAGATAACGCAAGGTTTACCTAATCGGAACTCTCATTTTCTTCATTCATGAATCGGACTCGGCTCTAGTAGCGGAAAATATTTCTTTTATATTTACTATTTATTTAACGAATATCGGACGGTACTTGATTTTAAAAAGATTTATCTGTAGACAAACAAATTTGATATATGGTCCGATATGATATACCATGTACTTGCGGCATGAGATGGACTGCATGTTTATTGACAGTTTACCCTCAAATGCAAATTGCTCTGGTAGGAAGCGTCCCTAGTTACTTGCACGTGGGCAGGAGTAATTATACTATTTCGTCGTCAGAAATATATCCGCAAGACCTATCGAGAATTCTCGTGAAGTTCGATATCATAGAGGAATCCCGCCGCTTTTGACTGTGTTGCAACACGGAATTTAAGCATCTCGAATTAATCTTATCCTACGGATGATAACGACCACGTGGGTGCTCAAGTATCGTTGCTCGTACCACGTGCATAGGCAGGGAACTTAGTATTTTGAAATACTACCCGTCACCTCGACTTACATTTTGACGGATTGACATTACATCATTAGATAGGACATCGAACTAGTCATTTTATTGCAACCTTATGTACTAAAATTGTATGAATTTTTTCAACGGTGAGATATGAAAGTGTCATACATACATACCAAAAAATAGAAATGTTCATAAAGCTTTTCCCCAAATTGGGTGCGCCGAATCATCTGATTGTCGTTTCCACGTAAATGAAGTCTTGGATAACGTGGCGCTTGCACGATAAAAATTTTTTAACATTAAGATTGGTTTTCAAGCGTTAACAATAATGTCGAAAAGTTGCGACCGTATTGGTGGAGAATTTCCGCTTCTCCCGGTCTAACGTACGAATCCGTTCGCAAAATCCTCCGCGAAAATCAATTTTAATTAATACTAATCTAGAATCGGTTGGCCCACGACTCTTATCACGATACGCCGACCGGCAAGCCTGATAACGTGCCGAAATTGTTTACCACGAATCATCGTGATCCATCTTGCGCGATCGATGGGCGAGCCGAAAAGAATTTAATTAATTATATTTCACTTTGACATTTCGCCAAACTTTGTGCCACATATTTTATTAAGATTAAGATGATATGGAATTTAATCGAGGTCGGGAATAATAAAATTCATCTATACCCTTTTTGGTGGGAACGTCATTTTGAAATCTCAAGTGGGAACATAAGCTGGCGCGTCGCGTTACCGACATTTATATTTATCTTGAAGTTTTTTTACAGTCCACGTTGAGAATTATACGAACTAAAGCGTTCTATATGTCATTTCGGTAAAATAATGATGATTTTACAGGTCGACAGGCCGTTGAGCATGAAGAAGGACGGAATTCAGACCAGAAAGCGGAAGCCGAAGAACCACTCCGGGATGACCGGAAGTATGGCCGGGCCCAGCGGGATCCACAAGAACGAGATTAAGTCCAGCCTACTCGGTGAGTCCTCGGTGAGCACAAATAAAATCTTCAGCTATTCTTCTGCTCGGCCCTAAGTAGATCAAGTAGATTAGATAAGTTACTTTTATGCGGCTAAGTATGACCGCCGTAAATATTTGCGCCACTGGAAGCGCGATCGAAGTTGACGCATGAAAGGCAAGACCTTTTTACCGGGAGCAGTTTCCGTTTGAGTACTCCAGATTCCGGAAAGTAATTCCAAGCTGATAAATGAATTGCATCGAAAAAGTAGACACTGAAAGTTGATACGACGTTCCTAAAAGTCCTCTTTTACCGTCAAAATCATCGAAAAGTTCTCCGAAATCGGGCGTCATCGACCACGGATAGGCGTTCGCTCTTCCCGTATTCGCGCTTGATAAAAAGTACTAAAAAGATAAATTGAAGGGTCGTTTCTAAAAAATCGTTACCTAACGTCAAAGTGACGAGGAATTTTTCTAAAAAATCCCCGAAATCGAGCGTCATCGGCCACGAATTCGCTCTTTCCGAGCTCGTGATCGATGACCATCTCGTCCAAGATGGCCGCCGAGTCGGTCGCGGCCACCGGGTGGGAGAACGGCCAAAGAGTATCCTCGGATTGGTCAGGGACAGCACTCGGCGTGATAACGCGACGCTGTTTCTCGATAAGGGGGACGAGGGACAGGGAGAGGCAGAATGATAGAGAGGGAGAGGGAATGCCTATCGATTTATCTCGTGGAAGGTGAAGTACGCCTCGCGTTAACTCGCTACCAATCAAACGTGCGAGTTGTGGTCATGCTTAGACCAGACGTGACTTTCCGATGGAATTGGCACGCCAATAAGCTGGAATTTGTCAATAATTTTCCATCCTTTTTTTTTTTTTTTTTTTAAGGGTATCGGATAGTACCGTCCTACGTGAGGAAAGGATTTTCGAATCTGACATAGCCTTTATTAATATTCCATGCCTTTACAGTGGACTCGAAATTGCAGTTGAACATGTTCACGAGCGGAGGTGGGGGTGGAGGGGCGGAGGAACATTACGCCCATGTTCGTCCCTTGAACACGATACAATTGGCGCACTCGCCCCTTACATTGCCTTCCGCCGCGGTTTTGAATCGGCAGACTACTCTCACGTAAGCGACCTCAATTTTTTTCTCTCGATTCTGATTTAAAAGTCAATCTGAAAACTAATTATCTCCTTAATTTCCAGGGTACCGCCACTGGAACCCACCACTAGTCGACCAGGGACCGATCTAACCTCGGTTATCACGTCGACAACGGTCGCCCATATCGACAGGATTTAAGCATCGCCTCTACCTTGCCAACGAGGCTTCGACCGACCAACCGCGCTCTGCATTGCCGACACTCGTCGATCACTTACTGAATTCGATCGCCATCTACCGTCTCCATCGACAAACTTTCGTCAGGCGTCCTTCGGAACGATTCGATTTGAAAAAGGAAATTCTTTGCTTCCGACAGCCTTCGAGCCAGAAAAAGTGAATTGGAAGATGATCCGCTTTAATTCCACTTTTAATAATGCGATATGTGTGTGTCGCGGTACATGAATACCGCTAGAATAGATGTATGTAAAGTTTGTCATCTTTAAACGTGAACGTTGTACGCATGAAACAATGTCTGGGGAGAAGATAATAAATTCCAGTTCATTTTTTTAGGAATATCGAGATGCGTGTAATGGTACGAAATGATAGTTAACTAACGATATGGATAACGACGGGAAAGTTGTCGAAGGAGATAGCGATACGAATCAATTTCTGTGCCTTTTCTGTATATAGCTTCTCTTTTGTGTACTCCAAAGATTTGTTCGTAGGCATAGAAACTCAACCCCAAAGAGTAATATATTGTCACGGTAGGAAAATGATTCGCTAAATGTTGCTTAGTTTAGTAATTGTGTTTTAATAATATAAGGATGGTCGCACGATCGGTTCACCGTGCGACCGAATCGATAAGTAATTCTAAGTGGTTGAAAATAATTGAAATGTACACGTTTTAATTAATTGTAAGTCACGTGAATGGAAAAAAAAAACTTGTTGCTTGACCAATTAAGAAGGTTACTAGGAATGTAACTATTTTTAGCCAATTTTACTTATACAAACATTAGCTATTTATGGAAGTGAAATATACGGAAAATCTGTCAGTGCAATATTCTACCATAATTAATATCGTGTAATAGTATTTCATGTTGCTTAGGTTGGTATACATTGCGTAAGGTTTCTACATTAGCGACTGCGAGCAACTGTACCGACATCGCGAATGAGTGTACCGAGGTGTACCGCCACCTACTAGTACTCGTCTGCAATATTACTTATCATAAATTATTTCCATTCAGTTTTAACATCTCCCCGGGTCATTCAACAGTATAAGTAACGTAAAATAGCAACTAATTAACAGATCCTATCGACGCCCACCAAACACGATTACGTAAGAATAAACATAACCGTTACATAACGTTTGTAACATCTAATGTAACATACATATAATATATAAGTAAGGTTAGTATAATTATTTCCTCCCCAGCTATATAACAATGTTATCTAGCGCACGCATAGAACGAATAATGTAACGTACAGATAACATATCTATAACACGTTATACGTTATATTAATATTATATAACTGCAATGCTAACAAGTTTGTAACAAGGTTACCGAACGGTAACGCGCGAACGGCGCTGGATACTTAACGGAAAAATTCGTCACATCAATTCGATAAATATTAACTTCTCAATTATGAAAACTTATAATGGGCCCGTGGAAGACAATGGACCTCTAAGTGGAGGAATGTTCGGCCCGATTCGCGGGATGACGCGGCGGCCTCCTCGGAGGCAGTGAGACGTCACCGCAGTCGTAGGTGTCGTATTTGAGCCGGGCGGTCCGCACGCGACTCGCGTGTCATCCGCCATAAGAGCCGGAGCCCATAAAGGCCCGGGCCGGGCCCAGTCCAGTCCAGTTGGAGAGCGGCCGGCGGAGGGGAAGGAGCGGGCCCGCCAGGTGGGGAGGGGTCGGGAGGGAGTCCATCAGCCTAAAGAGCGGCTATCGTCCCGGCCCTGAGCCCGCTAAGGGCTATTCCATGTTAGCCGCTCTGGCCGCACTCTTTTTATTCCGCTTTTGACTTTTTCTACGGCGCAAATGTGGCGCCGCCCTCCGACCTCGTCCCTCTGCCGCCGAGACGCCACCCCTCCGCCGACCGGATAATGTATCGGCAAAGGCGATTTACGGTGTAACGGGACGGGACTGTCAAAACCACCGGACGCCGGAAAATGGACCGCCGTCTCTTCCTTTTCTCTCCGTTTTTCCTCCTCTTCACCTCCCAGGTCCCCTGGAGAATAATCGATGGTAATTCACATTCATTTTTACCCCCCTACATAAATGAAGTTTTACATTGAATTACGGTAAATGGAAAAATGACAAATCGGAAAATATATAGGGTGCATTTAATGCATTACTATATCTTCGGTTGAATGTAATGTAAGGTTACGTTGTAATTCTTCTCCTGGCATTGTGTCTCCTTATATTATTTCATGGTTAGGAGATTAAACCAGCCTTACGTCGTGGAAGTGCTAGGGGACGAGAGTCGATCCGACGGCGACGACTGGCGTCGGCTGGCGACGACATTCTTCGCCTATCGGTCGGTCCTCTCGGCTAGATCCCCAAGGATTCATCGCGGAAGAAGCTCGCGGGTCCTCGTGCCTTACCGAAGAGACGGCGCCAACATTCTACCTCCGAAAAAGCATCTCCTCGTCCAGAGATTCCGGGCCCGGTCACTTCCACGGTGTCTGGACACGCTGTCGCGAGGGGCTGTTCACTCGGAAATCAGTGGAAAGGATTTCCTTTTTTAAGGTGACGTGGAAAGTCCCTTGGAGGTCTCGTTTATGAAACTCTTCCCCGAACTGAGGGTACCGAACTTGATGTGGCGAATTTTTTTGAAGTTCATTATAGATGTACAATCATTCACTTTTGAGTCATAAAATTTATCATTTTATCACAATCTTGTGTACCAAAAGTGTATGAATTTTGTGAATATTTTTAATATTGTGGGGAATCTGCGTGAAAACTCACAGGCGTATCCTCCGACTGCGATTCGTTCGATCGGTTTCTTTCGTGACTGCGAAGAATAGAGAACGTGGAAAAGATTTCGAGTTCACTGTTAGGAGGAAAAAAAAAGGGAAAAGGTGGGTGCGACTCGGTATAAAGAAAAAATATGCACTGCTTTACCTCTTCCTCGCAACGAGCACGGCGAGATTCTCGTGACTGATTCCCATTTCCGAGTCCCTTGCAGATCACGAGGTCCGATAGCGACGAATAATTGAATAATAAAGTAATTAGAAAAGTACCACGGTCACGCACACTCGGGATTACGCATCACGCGTAGAATGACTTGTGCGTTACCGAAGGCATGATGATTTTCCATTAAACGGCTCAGTAAATCGAAAAGATTTCTTACAGCTTTCTGATATGCAGTATCTTAAGGTGATACGATAGGCTCATTCTACGTATATAAAACGGCAAAATGTTTAAACTACTTTTCTCCAAACCGAGTGCCCTAATCGTTTTTAAATTCTGCATAATAATTGATTTTTTATATTCATCGTTTCTCAAGTCCAATCTTCAAGTGGTTGTATGTTGTGATAGGTACATCCTACATATGATAAAACATTGTTGCAACGGCTGATTGTGTAGATTCTCCTCCGTTAGATATTAATGTAGAATTTACAAATATTCGGTCCAACCCCATTCCAGTATTTTAATATAACGGTTATTTTATCTTGGAAAGTTATAGCGTTTTCACCATGGAATTAATTACTGGACTGGTTGATAACTCGTAATACCAGAAGAATCATTCTGGCTTCTTCGGGAAAAAAATAGGAAACCGGTACCGTAACCTTCATCTTAAGTTGACTTCTCTAAAAAGCAAAATTCGAAAGTCATGATACGCCAAGCCGACATTCCCAGACCAATTAAATACTATTTCTATCATCAAACGGTACGAGATTGGAAAAAAAATCACTTCATGCTCTTACCGATGTGAAAATTCCTCGATGAGAAATCCCGATCATCTGGTCTGCATTTATTACGTTTTGTCGTCCATTTTCTCTCTTAAATGTCGATAGGAAGTACATGATTTCTTTTCTCCAATACGTATAAATGATAAGGCTTATAAATGTGCGAAAAATCGCAAAAGTCCTTTACAGATCTTTCCATGTTTTCAAACACTTTCTCGCCCTCGCAGGGTGCAAGATCCCTGAACATCCAATCATGTACATTGTACATCCAATCATTGTACAGGGTCTAGCCTAACTCAAAGTAAAGATCACGACCAACAAATAGTTTCATCAATGTCAGACGCTACCGATACACTTTCGTTCATAAAACCCCATACCCAAGGACTCGTGGTTTCATCCCATCGCGATTCTCATTAAACAGCTACAGCTATTAAGCAACGGCTGCCTCATTTTTGTGATCCAGGTCCCTCGAAAGTGTTTCAAACCACTGGAGACACCCTCCAGCCACCGGGCATCCTCGGTCCGGTACATCTACATCTACTCGCCCTCGCAGGGTGCAAAACCGCTGCACGCGTCGGTACCGAGCGAAGATACACGCGTTTCGCTTAGTCGCAATAAATTAGCTGAAAGCGCAACAAATTAGATCGCGCAATCTGGCCGGGAAACATCGCTTAGGTCGGACCCGCCCGCTGTGTTCGCGATATTTCATGGTCGAGCATGGACTTAAGTTACAGTCGTAGCCCACTCTCGGCCGCACCTTTACGCCCGGACACCCCTTCGTCCTTCCCGCGGATCCTGGGCCTCGTCCTCTCTTTATCCGCGAGTCCTTTCCTCGCCTCCGATGGCTCCGTCTCCGTTCTTCCCCTGGTGGAGTCCGGGATTTCGACGGGCGTCTCCCTCGGGTCTGTCGTCCTTTTTCTGGAGGCTCGCCCACAGGACTCGCGTGTGGTGTGGACGCCAGCTCCTCCTCGGTTTCCAGGAAGAGAAGAGGACGCCGCCGACCGATTAGATTAGAGGAATCAATTCCTGAGTGGACTCTTCGACTGCGCGCATTTACACGCACTCTGATCCAGGACTTTGTATGAGAGAGGCTGCCCGCCCTCGAAATTCGGGGAATCTCGAAAAATCGAGCTGGCGCCTAGCGAGCCCCTTGATGGCTTTTCGGAAATCATTATTCTCTTTGCCGGAGCGTATAAACCCCAGAACGTCTTGAGTCGATACGAAAGGGTGACGAAGACTTACCAAAAAGTCCAAATATTTCTACAACTTACCTCCAACCGGTGCACCGAATTATTTGACACCTTAACACGTGCTTGCGGAGGCCCTTAGGAATAAAGCTATGCACGTGAAATTTGACTTTTCGTAAAAAAAATTGTATTTCTTGGACTTATCAGCTCTTTTTGGTTCTACTTGTTTAGAATATCTCCTTTTTATAGTCCGCACCTGAAATGAGCATTGTATGCGTTCCTTACCCCTTCTCGAAATACTTGATATTTCAGATTTCCCAAATTTTTCAAGTATGGCGGGCCTTATTACCCGAAGGTACCTTACTTCCAGGCGACTCGGGGACAGTAATCCCTTGTAAGCATTATAAAATCTTCTTCGCGTGGTTGATAACATAATCTGGCTCCTGGCCGCCCTTACGCCTGTATTAAAAATACAGATTACCGCAAAAGACACGGGGACCGAGATAGGCTTAAGCCGCCATTGCGGCTCGCGGTAAAGAACCGCATGACGTGAAAGTAACGAACGCAATCCCGGCGCCATGTTGTTGGTTAAGTGATCTGATTAAAGGTCACGTAAGTACGTTTACGCGGTAGCTCCATCACGAGACTCGCGGAACCGGAAGTCGCGTGTCCGTCCAGCCCCGAAGACCGCCTACTTCGTTCAGGATCGCCAGGAGGGAGGTTATCCCTTAAAAGGTACCACGAATGCCCCTTTAAGAGCTCCCCGACACGGAAAATCTCTCTTTTAAACCCCCGGAAAAGAGGCCTCTTTTCCTCCTGGGGAAATATAAATAGCTAAACAATTTGGATATTTCCGTAAGTACGCCCCGACCGGATATCTTACGGTTCCATCTGAGCTTCCATTTAAGGGCGCAGTAAAACGATCTCCAGTCGTAAATTCTACTTCAGAGGCCCGTTGCGTCTTAAACGTGCGTAATAACGGCTGGGTTGATTTAAAAATTATTTATTGCCACGGGGTACAAATGGGGACTCTGCTCGAAGTGCCGCAATTGCTCGTCACATTGACGTATTTCGTGGGAAAGTCTCAATCGGTACACCCAATTCGGGGAATACTTCCCTCAGCGCATTGAAGTGCAATTTCTCTTCCAACTTCTGAGCTACACAATTATTATTCCTATCTTTGCTCTGGATCGTTGGGAAATTGGTGGATTGGAAGTAATTCGAAAAATCGATCCGAAGTACCCATTAATGGTAATTAGACACGGAAGCGGCTCTCCAGCACGGCAATGGAATAGAGGCGATCGCTCGTCCGAACTAGGGGCCGCAAAATAGCCGTAATGTCCTCGTTCCGTTATCTATTTGAGGACCTTCTGATAAAATATGGCCGCTGCAGCTCGGCAGGAAGTAAAAGAGCAGATAGGCGTGGCGCCGATCGCAAGATCGAAGGGAGCAGCACGCCCATGGGGCTGTCTCCTTCTCTCCCCTATCGAACCCCCTTAAGGCGAAGTGAAACACCCAACTCGACAACAATTATAAAGAAATCGAAATAAAACACCAGAAATCCTCTGGAGTCATGCTTCCTGCGGCCCTAATTGACCGCAAAGGACCCCCTGCGCCATCTGTGATTTTCAGGTGAATTAAATTTTCGCTCGAATACCCATAAAAAAGTGTTCGGGGGTTTCACTTCCCCTTAGACATTTTTGGGGAGGCGAGGTGTGGTTTTACCGCGCAGGACGGAGATGCGTCTCGGCGCTCGTCTTCGGCCCCCTTCTTCGGGGTGCCGAGTCTAGGGGTGCGGAATTGAGACGAGCCGGGACTCGCGAAGTGGGCTTAATTGGACCGGACGATCCGGGAATCGGCCAATAAAGAAGGGACGATGCTAATGCGTGCTCTCGGACCCGGGGAACAAGGCAGTTTTCCTGGAAGCGGGTCGCCGGTTGTCGCGACCGATAATTTTCGTGCGCGACCGCGGTGCCCCCTTGGCCCCTCCTCGTGGCCTCGGCCTCCGGCGTCCAATCCCGGTATTGCATTCCTGGGACCGCGCTAATGGACGACGAATAGGAGGGTGAGGGCCGCGGAGTGCACTCGGGCCCCAGGCCCGCGGGGGACGGAGGATCCCCACTCGCGCGAGGCTAATGGGGTCCGGCCAGCTCCGTTTATTGGTCTGTCGCGCCAACCGCGCCAAGCCGTTTTTAATGCCGCGCATACCGGCCCGACTCCTGGGGACGGGGGAATAACTTCGGCATCGGGGACGGTCGCGCCCTCTGCCGGGACGAGCGCCGACGGACAAAGACTCGAAATCCCATATCTTGCGGGATTCTTCAAATGATACGTCATTTACTTCTTGTACTATTGTTTGCATGAGCAACAAGCACTTCAACGCGTTAAATTCATTAGTTTTTCGTCGCGGCTTGATATGTATAGAATAACCCTTTCATATCACCTTAAGATGACGTGACCCCTCAAAATCAGTTAATTCGAATATAAACACTTTATGTAACGCAAGTATAGTTTTCACGTCTTTTCGCGGCCGACGTAGGTACTTAAATCTGGTATTTCTGCGATGAGGAATGTAAACAAATAAGAGGGAGTGGGGATAGGACAAAATCTCCTCAAAAGCCCCGAGCTGGTTGAACTTTTAGTACGCGACGCCTAAGCTCCGAAGAAACATCCTAATGTTATCAGAATCGTGATTTTCTAGTAAAACTTATCCGTTTAGTCTAATTTTTCTCCGGATATTGTAATTGCGTATTAAAATTTCATTTAGTTCCGCGGAATATCGTTTGGAACGGTCGCTAATTGAAGTGATAAAAAATGAGAAGAAAAGAGGACGTCGCATTTCGGGGGCGACATGAAGATGAGGATAAAGAGGAAGACGAAGACGAAGAAGACTTCTCGCGGTCCATCCAAATTCTTTCCGGCTTCTAGTCCCGTAGGAGGTCGACAGGTAAGATGGTATCGCGGCGATAATTGGTAGCCGAGATCGTGTCACGGATAAAGAACAAATCTTTTTGGTTGCACCAAAACAGCTCCATTACACCAGGGAGCAATCTGGCCTCTCGACATCCCTAGGGCCATGATGCAAATTCGTCTAAATACCGCACCCGTGTATAAACGATGCGAAAGAACGTTGCTTAGCGTGTTACATTCGTGATAATGGAAACTCGTTAAAGAAAGCACATCAACTGTGCATAATGTAGCCAGAAATGTACTAAACGGTACCTAATAAACACGATGAAATGATCGTTTTATACGCGTATTGGTAAAGGTACAGGGTGGAATAACAACTTTTTCAGATGATTCTTTGTCGATGTTCATCGATTGTATTACGGAATAAAGCATAAAATGAACAATTCAAATTATTCCTTGTCGGCGTTCATGGGCTAAGGTTACGAATTTGTAATACAATCGATGAATATCGACTAAGAATCATTTGAATGAATTTTTCATTATTTTATGTATTCTTTTAAGTGGAAGTAGATCTCTCAATTAATGATTCCTATTCATTAACTCGTCTCAGAAGGGTTAACGACTCCGCAGTTTGTGTTCGGTGAAATTAAAACGCGCAATTAAAAATGCAATTTTCTTTTTCATAACACGCCACGGGTTTAATATTCATACCGAGCTTTCGAATTTCAAATCAAGGTACAAACCATGACTGCAAGGAGTTAATGCGTAATTGAAAACACGCTTTCCAAGGAGGTCAATGACACTTAAATCTACATGGTTAAACCGCGAATCCGAGTTAACCAACGGTAACGTACGCAAATCTAATCATCGTTTTACTGTATTATGTCAAATTAAGCGATATAGCAATGCAACCTTCCCATCTGGAAATTTCTTCCACAACTCGTACTTTTATCTGGAACGCTACATGAATACACAAGTAATTCGAAACTGTATCCGACTAATGACCGAAAAAGCAAATCCTCGGTTAAATTGAGTCGCACGTTCTTCCGCATCTTAACGGCGGGTTAAATTTCCGTTAAACACCGTTTAGGTTAACCAGCGAAATTTGATAGTTTAGCTTCGGTTAATCGAAATGAATTGCACGTAACATTTCACGATCATCGCGTTTCTTCTTAGTGTCCCCGTAATTTCATGAAATATCAAATGATTCGGGGCACCCAATTAAGAGAAAAGATTTGCACTGTACCGACCTTAAAATTTCATATTTACCCGGTGGTACCACCTTAAACCCGGTAGCCGGGATCTTGACTACTTAATCATCTGTAAAGGAACCCTGACCCTCGTCAACTGGCTACCGATATTTTACCTGGAGTATTACCTTTCCTACCGTGACTGACTCATCCTTTTCGGCATTTAAGTCCCTAAAGATGGACGCGTTAAATCGTTGAAAAACGCCTTATCCGGGGATCTGGGTTACGCCATGGGATTCCACCTCTTGGAGAGCCATTAGCCGTAAGTGCACCCAGATCCTCTCCTAAGCCCCCCTGCGGGTCATTGCTGTATTTCACATTCCGAATTAGACGAATTTCATCCCTTCAATTAAGGGGACGTGAAAGTGCCATCCGAAGAGTCGGTACTTCGTGAAACTTTTCTCCGATCTGGGTGTGCCGAATTGTTTCAAAATTTACAACGTGAATGTGGAGGCCACAAGGATAGTCATGACACTCGTGAGATTTCATTTTTTAATTGACAGGCGACTGACAGGTTCAAAATCTTTGCGCATGCTTTACTTGTTTAGTACAGCTACCCACGTGTAGGGGTGCCTTGAATTTTTTTTTCGCATACAATAGGATCCTCGTGAACGATGTTGCATCGTTGCGACGTCGAGTAATTGGTCAATATTTGAAAGTCATGCGGAATTGTTCACTTTGCATGTGAAAGTTGATCGGATCAACTCGAGAATCCCTGGAGCTCGCGGTTTCCATTTCGGGTGATAATCGGCCTTATCACCGGGCTTTCGCTATTAGAAGGACCCATTAGGTAAGCAATATATAAAGATAGGGAGCTCGGATGAGTTCTCGCGGTGGAACTCGCCATTAATTGGCCATACTGGCCATGGGATAATTGGCCTCGAGGACTCGGCCGTGCCAGGACGATAATTGCGGAGAGTTTTAAATCGTCTCGACGGCCATGAAGAGGTAGGACCTGGTGACAACTGGTAGGAATGTCCCGGGAACGGAAAGTTGGAGGCCCTTGGGGTCTCTTCCCTCGGGAGACCTCCATTTGCGACAGTAGAGGAAGGTATCCATATTTTGGATAGCGTCCCAAGTAGAAAAAAAAAAATATTGCTTAAACATTGATTTCCATACATATGGTGGTATAATAAATACCCAATAACGTTTGTGAACATTTTGGAAAAATTATACCAATATGCATATATGAGCATTGGACGGTTTTAAGAAAAACAGTGTAGTGGTACATTAGTATGTCCATGTCGAATTCGTAAAATCTTGAATATCGGATTGCAAATGATTTGCAACTATCGTTACTTATTCTCAGTCTCCAGGGTATCGCTGAGAAATGTTTTATAAATATTTTGACATTTTAAATACACATGTATATAGAATGACCCTTTCGTACGATCTCTTCGGGCTATCGGGCTGATGTTCTTTTTCCGTGTACAGCTCGCGAGGCGCTAGATCGCTACCAGCTGAATTACCGCTAATTATCGTTACTTATATTATTAGTCCCTGCGAGTACCAGAAGCGCGAATAGGTGCCGGGTGGCGGAGATGATAAAGAATCCCGCAGTCCATAATTCAGTCGGAGTTCCCTGCCGGTATATTCGCCGCGAGTTTTCTGGCGCAAAAGATATCCAATGAGGAACGATCCGCGGTTTTATCCTTGGCCGATCTGGTAGGACATTACGGAGGGGTTCTCGTGCCTTAGGGCCGAAGATTTAATGAGAACCGGGGCCTGGGCGTAGCCTTTGCAGACCGAGAGGCGTGGGCGCCGTTTCCCCGCCGACTTCTACCGCTAAGAGAACGCCCATCTCGTTCGCCAGCCGGTACCGGTCCCTCCTCCTCGTTTGGTGAGCGTCCGGGGCAGTTCCAGAGACGCAGTCATCGACTGTGCACCACGTCCTGGCAGTCCTTGCGCGGTCCTGGGATCCCTGATACCGTCCGAGCTCCGCCGGGCCCGGTCGCGCTCCCGGACAAGTTCCCAGATCTTCTCGTTGATCCGCGACCAAGACGGGTGGTACCCTCCACCCTCTGCTCCAGTGACCCGAGGAGCATCCTTCTACCATTCGACTCCAAGTGAAGTATATCGCGAGTTGAGGACTTTGGGAGCTGGACGCATCCGGGGTATTGGAACGGTCATCCCGATCGTTTCCACGGTGGATTTGTCGAGAGGGTCCGTTGAGAACGGTGGATTCTGGATTTGGACCCTGGATCGAGTTGGAGGACCTAGAGGTATCCTCGTGGAGGACCGGACGGTCTAGGGACTCCTGGATACTTGACGCGGTTTCGGTGCAATTTTTCAAGAAGCTTGGGATCTCTCAAGATAAGTGGAGGATCCGGTGAGGACGGTGCATCGAATCTGGATCTGGACCCTGGATCGAGATAGAGGTTCCCAGGTGTCAAGAGACTCCTCGTGGAAGGCCTTGATTGTTCCTCCCCGTTGCCAACGGGTGCAAGCATCGTGTCGCTGTTGAAACCCCTCCACGAGGACGGAAGAGCGTCGTTCCCTTGCACGTACCTTTGGGATTGGATGATCCAAGTGCGGTGTCGTGGAATTAATGAAACTTAACCAATGGGACACGAAGTATATCCCGGAGTAGGGAAAAGCGTGTCAGCTCGCGGTGTATGACATTCCACGGAAGTCTGAAGACGTAGGTCGAAGGACGCCTACGCGATACCTGGACGAAACTGAGCTGGGGAGTGAACCGGGAACTCGGGGACCCTCGTCTAGTCGTGGACGCCAACGGTTGTCGGGTGTCCTCGGAAAGGCCGGGTTACGGGGAAGGATAAAGGACCCTGACGCTGCCGTCGCCCGTCCAGACGTCACCCGTCATCCGTCAACGAAGCACGTGGTCGACTTCGGAGGAAACGTCAGCGTTTACTCTGGTCTGAGCAGCGGGGGTTCGGGGAACACCCTCTCCTGGACGAACCGAAAAAAAAAAAAAAAACTCTGAAAGTACTCCGCGGAAGAGGAGCTGCAATCAAAGCCAGAGGTGTTGAACCGGTGACGGTGAACACAACGGCCGTGCCGTCGCCTACACGAGGACTCGTTTTGCAATTTTCGTGTTTTACGTCCAACCAAACTCCCAGCACGGCGTTTCAAAATACGCGCGGCAAAGCGTGCAAACACGAACACTGAACCCGAGTCTTTGACGTTATACCCGGATGAACGCCGCCGCGGTGAAATTCTCTCAAGAGGAGTCCGAAGGCCTCCGATCAGCATTGTCGGGAGTTCGTCCTAGGATCAATCGTCAGGAGTTCGTCCTATAACTTCGGAACCACGTGGCGACAACTACCGTCGGCAGGTTTCCGCACGCGATTCCCGGCCACCTCCGCGGAAGGAGTCAACCCGACCGTGAGTACTTTATATATCATGTTTTTACAAAAGGTCGCCAACGAAGGTACTAAAGGTCCGAATGCTCATCAAACGTTGGTTCGAGTTATTGGCACTTTTGTTGTGCGCCTCCCAATAAGGACGATAGAAACAAACTGGCGGTCAGGGGTTCGTGGATTTTTTTTTCTTTTCTTCTTCGCATTAGAAATTTCCCATTATCGCGTCCCTGAAAGAAGGAAATGCTGCTAACTAATTTCCGAGTACATAGCCCCTCTCACGTATCCGTGGTCCTCTTCGCGTAGCCAATCCCCCCCGCCACCCCCTAAAGACAAAGGACAGTATAAGATTCGAAATTGCCGCGCTTAGGGAGAACGGGAGCGCCCCCACGTCGGAGCGGAAGGCGGGAGCGTCTCCGGACTAATTAATTAACGGCGCGCGTGCACTCGCCTTGCCGCTTGGCGGTGCAATTAATTATTCAAATAGGCTCGCAGGCCGCCGGACAAGAAGGCTGCGCTCCTCGCATGCGAGACGCCGACCGATACCGACGCCGATCCCGGGCGTCGGGGCGAGGGACGCGGACCCCTTAAGGACGCGAGCCGGAGGAGCCGCCCCTTAATTTGCGGCTTTTATTCCCCGGGAATAATCGGGAGGACGTGTCAACCGGGGAACGATTATACGCGGGGACGCCGCTCCGCGTAAACTCGTTAAGTCTTCCGGCTTCCCGTCGCCGGGACGCTAATCCTTCTGCGCGCGCACGAATCTAAAATCACGGGGAATCGGGATCGGGATTACTCCAGGCCGTAATATAACGTAAATACCGATGCCGAGGAGAGATTTCGGTTTTGCAAGCTCGCGTGGGAATCCGACTACCCCGACCCCGCGATTTAGGAGGGACGACCGGCGGCCATCTTGGATTTTTCCGACCGTCCGAATATTCGCAGAGTTGGTAAAAAGGATATTAACTTGAACATTGGTTTTCGTACGTATGACGAATTTGTTAGTTAATGATTTTACAGCGCTACTTTAGAAATTCCTCAAATGATGTGGGAATGATTAATTTAGCATGTACCATGGGTGATTAAAACTTGGCGAAATATGTTGCGGGATTATTTCTTATTTTGTTTTTTTAATTGTACACCGGGAATTGGTTTGTTCTTAATCGCGAAGAGAAGCCGCTGAAGAAATGTAAGCGAGAGTCGAATTCATGGCGGTTACTTTTTATTTCGTTTGTTTACGGCAAATGATGACGAGACCTTGATAACTCCTCGGTGGTAACTGACGTTTATACTCTTGGCGAGTTTTAATCTCGGTTAGAAAATCATTTTGTGGCAAGGTGGGCAGGAAAATGCAAACTCTCGTCACTCGGGGAGCGTGAAAAAGCTCGGATGCGCGTTATGGGAACCTTGATCCCCAGTGATTGCCATGTGAGCGCAAGGTGCATCCGAACTTGGGGGGTAATTAATATATATAACAGGGACTAATTAGTGATGTGGGACTCCGATCATCGCAACGCGAAACCTACCGCGGAAAGATAAAGCCCGTTAATATAATCCCGAGAGTTGGCTGAGTAGAACTTATCAATTCCATCTGACCATACATTACTCCGCGGGGTATTTCCTCACTCGCGATTTCCAGCTGCGAAACGAAAATCGGGTTTCCACCGGCATTCGCTGTCAGCGAGGGACACAAATCCGAAACGATAAATACGCCTGGGAAGAAAGGGGAAAAAAAATGAAAATCCAACCGCGCCTTCGTTCCGAGGAGACGTCTGTTACGTTCAAGGTGCGAGCGAGGCGAGATATTTAAAACATATTTCAACGACATGTTTAATCACCTAGGTAAAAAGATTTAATGCCATAGGCTTAGGTCATTCCGTGAACCCAATAAACTTAAAACGGCGGAATACTCGTTCTATATGGGCTAACGTATAGTGGAAGTATAACGTGGACGTGAGAAATAAACGTTAATGTACATTAAATAGATGTTTACATGGAACGTTGATTTTGGGTGTTAGGTTTAAAACGTGTATGTGCCAAGTCGGGGAGACACGTGTATTTTAAAATGACGTTTCTATGCTAATCGAATCTATATCGCGAACGATTCTTTTTCACGTCGGAATTGTGACGTTCATTAGAGATTCGCGAAAATTAGCGGATGTTAATTGAGCGGCGCTTAATGGCTTGGAAATGAAAGCATATCTCCCCGCGAGTTTATTATTAATATTCCAGCCGTTTATGGGGAACAATGGGTATTCGCGTGGCGGCCTTAAGGTCGGACGTGGAGGCTCGCCGAAGTTTATGGGGTTTTCGCGGCCGAAGCTCGAAGCCACGAGGCCACGTGCTTGCCCATAGGAAATTAATACCGGCACTTCCACCCGGCTTCGATAAATCGATAAGTCGCGAAATGATGCGAGCTAGAGCGATCGAGCCATCGTGAGTAGTTATCGCAATCGCGGGGCATAAAACGTTTTACTGCTTGGCATGACATTGCCAGCTGCATCGGATTCTGTCGATACCAGCTCTCTCGATCTTGCATTTGCATGTCGACGTCGCTAAAAAATTGCAAATCGATCCTTCCTATCCGGGTGGAATCCTTGATTAAAAAGAACACTCATTAGCGTTAAGGTGAAAGCGAAACAAGTCGAGGTACTTGGTCGAGGTCGGTAACAAAAGACCTTCCTAATTATATTGACAGCTGGTTCGTTTAATATAATAATTTCCACGTGCTCACGAGTAATGTGTCAAAGTTTCGGTCGGTACTAAAGAGGGTCTTATTCAAGTCGAATAATTTGAAAGGGGTTTCACTTAACCTTAAGGCGACGAGAAAGTGCCGTCAAGGAGGCCTCGTTTATGAAACCTTTCCCCGAACTGGGTGCACCGAATCGCATCATGAGAAATAAATCAAGAGTTACGACATTACTGCCGCGATTTGCGAATCGGAAATTACTTTTTCTTTTTTTTTTTTATTTATTTCTTTTTTTTTTCCCCTCCGCCCTCGAAAGATGTCTTAATCCAGACTGTCGAGGCGGCGCAATCTTTGCGCTCCTATCCCTCGGATTTTCCTCGGTATATTTATTCCGACGCCTATACGGCTCTTATCGTCCTCTCCTCCCAGTCCTGTCGTACATACATCATTTGTAATTTATCCTACTGTCTTTATTACTCATAACGTTTGGCGTACACCTATCATCGGCCTTCCTCGCGGGAGCGTGTTCCCTCTCTGTGCCACTTCGCGTTTATCCCCTTATCCGTGTTCGCCTGCATTATGTACGGTCTTCCCTTTATACGAATTACACACATGTCCACGCGGGACAAAGTGACGCCTTATCTACCTGTGTTTTTCTGCGGGAACCGACTGTTTAGATAGAGCCGCTTAAAGGATGATGCCGGTGCCGCCATGACTAATCTTCGCTCCCGATGTTCCACAGATATGGATTCATGAACTGATTTTCCCTCTCCCACTTTCCCCTTCGGTTACTTTCGACTTCTACTTGTCTGCGTTGCATCCCACACGGACAAAGCGACGGGAAATCTCAATGAAATTTCCCTCATAGAGGATCATGAAATGATCTGCGGGGGCGTTGCTTATGAATCCTCAATTGAGTCTGGTCGAAGAAGTTGATCGACGTCGGTAAGGGAAATCTTTCGTTTTCACGGTAAAGTGGAAACGATAAACCTCGAGAAGTAGGGAAGAAAGAAACAAAGTAAAGAGGAATATAGTGAAAACGAGTACCGAGTCTCGAGATATCCATAAGCGATCGGTCGGTGTGCGTACTCGTATGTGCGCCCTCGACTATCGGCCGCTCGTAAACCAACGGGCAGCCTTGCGCCACGAAACAATGCTGTTCGTATTGTCGCTGACTCGCTCGCTTTCGTTATCGCTTATCGCCGAACGATGTTCCTTCCGCCCGGTCCGCCCGTTCCGTTCCAACTCGTCCCGGACGTTCCGTCCACCCGCGACAAGTGTCGCGCATGCGGGCTGACGTCCTAAGGGCACCGCGACGTCCTCTTTTCTTTTTCCACTTTCCTTCCAAACCTCCAATTGAGTGGTTACCTTTCCGATTATCGATTCCCCTCCCTACCCAAGGAATTATGCGACTGTGAGAATTTTTTTAATAATTTAGAAGTGCGGAAGAATTTTTTAATAATTTAGAGATGCGGAAGAATTTTTTAATAATTTATAATTGAAGGGTAACCCTATTTAGTGCCGACCGAAGTCGTCGGCACTTGTAAAACGACGTAGGAATAAAATTGGTAATGGACAAAAGGTCTGAAGTGGATTACGCGGTTAATGTAGCTAGGGTTGAAACTACTTTCGACGGAAGTAGCGTAATCACCGAGGAGCACCAGGCTGTCTGATAACGTATCGGAGTAAGCTACGATAGGAGCACGGGTCACCCTTGGCAGGCCCCTAACCGAGTAATTTTTAAGTGACGATATTTGCAAGTAAAAGCCAATTCTACCGTTAGTATAGTTCCTCAACTATAGTTCCCTTCTGGCCTGGTGGACTTCAAAATGTATTTAAATTCTCCAAATTTCAATGAATGAAGAAAACCGACGTTCATGATTGGCTGAGTATTACCGAGTTCAGAGTCAACAAAAGGATCTACTCTTGAGCCCGACTAATTTATTAGAAATATGGTCACTAGATGTGAGACATCATGAAAGCCGGTGCCATGACGAAGGCAGGGTAATACTCCGTCGATCGGAATTACCCCAAAAAGCCTGCCATTAATACCGTCCTTTTCCTCGAGAAGAGGTCGAGGGTTCCTCGTACGCGTCTCTGGAAAGAAGGAGAAAAAAAGAAAAAGATATGAGGAAGAGCTCGGCGCCTATAATACCGCATACAAGTACAACAGAGAAGAGGCCATTAACAACGCTCGACTTGTATTCCTCGGAATCCTGAAGCGGGCCCTGAACTCGAGTCGCGCTCTTCTTCGACGGTTTTTCTTCCCCAAAGGCATGATGGCGCCTGGGTCGGTTGCGTGGGACTTTCTCGAAAAGAGAGGATGAAAAAGCGAG